TATGTGATTTTTTGCCAATCAATCCAAAGTCTAATTACACTCACGAAAGTCCACACGAAGATAATCTGCAGAACCCTTGATTATTTTACTAGAACAATCAAGGGCGTCAACAATCAAGAAAGAAGAACAAGAAAAAGTTTTCTTCTTGAGAGAAAGAGAGATAGGGCGACTAGGGTTTTAATTGAATAAAATAATTCTTTTATTGTTTTAATTTTAAGTTTCACTTATATAGTACAACAATTAAAACCCTATTCCACTTAGGAATAGCCATGGGCTCCAACCCTAGTTCACCCTTGCAACCAGACACACCCTTTATGGTATTTTAATTAATTAATTATTATTATAATTATAATCAATTAATATATAATAATATATTAACATTCAATTAATAATAATAATTTCATTTAAATATATACATAGATATATTTAAATATAATCTCACTAATTTAATTTTAATATTAAAATTAAATACAGGCAATAACCTCAGCAAATTTCATTGCACTGTGAGATTACCAAAATACTCTTTTGTCCTAAAGATGAAAATACCCTTCTCACAAATTGATTCTTAAATTATCTTCTAAGTGTGTGACCCGTAGGCTTCTTATCATATCGGCAGTGAGTAACATCGCGATTAACACCAATTAACCATCTCACTACACACAGACCAAGATTGGCCCCTAGTAAGGCATCATAGCCATCCGATAGATTCCGATTCAACGAAATCGTAGCCTATCAATGGTATGGTTACCGTGCAATCAAATCTTTTCATCAACTGTTATCTCATCGAGAGTAAAGTACAGAAATAGTGTCAATCTAAGATATCTTCGACATGTTTGTATTCAGTTACTAGACCAATGACATGAATATTAAATTGGATTGAGCATCAACTCAATCCCACTATGGCCATAGATTTAGTGTCGTTGTCATTTACTGAATTACCCAATGAGATAACTTCTCCCATACCCAGGAGTGATGAATCATTTGTCGATCCACCATATTCTCGATACAATTCTCAATGTAGCCAATCACTACCGTATTGATAGCTCTGAATAGAACTATGTTGGGCTAGTATCAAACCACACCAATTGGTGCACAAGGCGCTCCGGTGATCTTAAGTCTAAAGATCACATGTACCACCATCCGTTAGAGGATTTATTCCACAGACATTAGGGTTACCATCCATATGGAATCCTCTGGTGGGTCTGTCCAGTGAACTTGCCTCTAGCAAGCACTCATGGGTTGCACCAGGTTGTCGGCAAATAACCTTGACAAGTGAGATCAGTCACTGCCTTTCGACAGGGTTGTTCAACACTATGATAGCCTTACAGTATTATCTGTGTCCTTTGTTAGAATAATACTTAGGCTACGAACGTTTCTAGAATGGCCACCATATGTGATCATAAGGTTCTCACTTTCAATATTTGAAACACTTGATACCCTTGTCACGGTTCTACCATTCTAAGGACATATATCATTACATACACGATATAGAAGAATATGTCTTTTATTGATAAATAAACATTTATTACAGAGTCAATTTTACAATAATTGATTGGCTTTAATGCACCTACTCCAACAACTACGTGTTGACCATCCATAGGGAGTGACAAACTGTCAGATTTCAGTAATGATAACCGTCGTCGTAGGTCACCTCGACTTCACGTGTGAACAGCTGTTGTCGCCCACGCGCGACGAAACGTAACTGACAAAGGTTGCCACATTTAATGCGACACGACCACACATAAATTACCTTTATAACTTGACTTTTCATATTCTGAATTTTGATAGATACCATGGGAGATCCAAGTGTGAGGTACGTCGACCAAGCGTAAGGTCGACCACAGGAGCCCGTTCGAACATGCACTTAGAGATTCATTATTGAAGTCGAGCTTGGCATCAAATCGAACAATAGTCTTTGAAGTCCGAAGCGATCATCAAACACTAAGGGACAGATGTTGTGTGTGGCTTTTCCGCCAAGCTCGAGCCAACGTGAGGATATAGCTCGACCCAGAATAATCTCGACAACAATGATTAATCGACCCAGTATAAGCTCGTTGAGCCGAAGCTCGACCCAGCATAAGCTAGTCGCGGACAATTCATGGAATTATTCAATCAACCTCCAGATATTTCAAATCCCAGATATTACGGGAATGACTAGATCAATTGCGATCACTGCGCAATCATAGCGCCTAACCGCGAGAATATCGGAATTGCGATTTAGATCAATTGTAATCCCCTTAATTTTGCTCTTTTCTTTGTTCAAATCTTGTATATAAACCCCCTCAAAGGAGGAGCGGGGGTTACGAATTTCACATAGGAACTATATTGTAAGCTCTCACAGCAAATACAAAACCAGTGGACGTAGGCTTCAGAGTTAACCTCGCCAAACCACTTTAAAACTCTCATTGTCTTTACTTTATTGCATTTTTTTTTTACATACATTGCTAATTATTCTTAATCACGCACAGATCAGTTCTGATCCCGACAAGGTCGATTGGATCTCGCTAGTTAGTGCAGATTTTTGTATCAACAAACATCAATGAAATAAGTTGTTTGATATTTTAGATACCTTAGTCTTTCTATGAAGTAAATATTTAGTGAAAGGTAATTTGCTCTTGGTGTTCCTGATATATGAAAGAGAAACCGTGCACTAATGAGAACGACGTAGATCTATGAACAACGGGACTAGTGTCAGTCGAAATAGGAGACCCAAAGACCATGCACTTGGATTTGGAGTGTGAATTGCTGTCACAGCCAAGGCAGTTCTCAGATTGCTTGAAGAGCCCACTGGATCATATCTTATTGGGTTCTACACTAATCTCTTCAGCTTCGGCCATTTGTAGAACCAGATCAATTTACACCGCCCATTACCCACCTTTTTGGTTATTCTTTGAAGTTTGAACTTTGAAACAATAACAAAAAAACATGTACAAGAACTGAAGAAGTCGTCTTCACACGCTAGTGGCGGTCGCATTTTGACATGGACCCGGCTGGTGGAAACCATTGAAGCAAGAACGAAGATTCTCAACAATACCCTAATCCCTAAAATACCCATTGACTTCATGCAATAAAAAAAAAAAAAAAGTGTAAAACCCAATCATAACTTCCCATTTGGTAGTTTCACAAGGACACTTTGGTCAATGTGATGAAGTAATGGAACGTGGTAGTTACTTATATTTGATTATACACCGCGTTACGTGAAGTCGAAGTAGGTGGTTTGATTTCGCGTAAACTTATAAAACAAATACAATTTCTCTCTTACAATTCAAAATCACAGAAAGAGAGAATCCAATATACAGGAAAATGGGAGATTGCCGGCCATTGGGTTTCTTGCTGGGGCTTCCTTTTGCTTTGGTTGCATTGATTTTATCTCTTGTTGGCGCTGTGGTGTGGATCATTGGGTAAGTTTTTAATTAAATTTCTTCCTTCAATCATGTCTTTCTTGTTTCTTTTGATCTTATTGGTTTTATATTTGATTTGTCAATGGCAGAACTGTATTGAGTTGCTTGTGCCCATGCTGCATTTGTTGTTCTGCACTTGCAAACTTCGCGGTGGATCTGGTGAAGCTTCCTGTGAAAATATTGAGATGGTTCATTCATCAGATTCCTTGTTAATTGATTAGATGCAGTATATTTTCATTTGTTAATTTATGGGTTTTGTGTTCAAATAAGATTTGTTTATGTAATTACAATTCATACAGTAACATGATTTCGAGCATTTGATGCCTATTTGTATGGCTATAAACCCAAGTGTTGTTTTCATCTTTGATTTTCAATTATTGTGTCACTAATTTTGATGAGTATATTTTTACAAAAATATCCATTATTATTTATTATATTATATGATTAGTTATGAGATCACATGTTCAATCAAATATTCAAGGGAATTATGCTGAATATAATTATGTATGAGATCTACTATTAATATTCAATACTTAATTATCGTAACAATGATTTAAACCAACATAATAAAAGAAGGACAAATACACTTATCATAATACTGATCACATTAATTTACGATAAACTTATCAAACTCTAATTTAACTTTAATAAGAATCACAAATTTAAATTCCCACTACTAGGATAACATAATTTTCTAATCAAATAATAACCTTTAATTTAATTTCTAATATTTATAAATGATAAATTTTTAATCATTTATCATTAATATTATGATTTAAGTCTATTCTTGGACGGGTAAAGTTGACCAAACATTAATTTTCCGTGCATTATTTTTAATAAGAAGTAGCTTAACCGCAATGTTGGCTTGCGATATAAGCACGGAGATTGAATTTTTAAATTTGAATCACTGAATGAGGTCCAAACCTTTATTTTCTTAATTTATGTACAAATTTATATAAAGTTTATGTTATAAGTAATTTATATTAATGTTGTTGGTAACAATATGAATTTATGTTGTTAACATCATTCAATTTGGGGGTTTAACATTCAAAACATTTACTACTAAATGGATTAATTTTCTAAACATTCTAATAATACATATTTATAATGATAAAAATTATGTATTATAATTATTTTAACAATAAAATAAAATTTATTCATTATTATTTTAACCACACATGTTTATTATATTTTTTCTATTTTTATTTTTTAAGGCGTTTATTTCATGTTGGATTTTTGCTATTTACTCTTTTATTATTAAAAACAAAAAAAAAGGTGAGAGAAAGGAAAATGGAAATCTAAAGTAACAGCTTACTGTGGCTACTCTTGCGACAGACGAACAGGTCGACAGGGCTTTTACTTACGTGTCCAGCCCAAAACGAAAAATCCAAGTATCCAACCATCATGGAACTGGCAGTGACCCGAAAATCGAAACGCGCACTTAATAACTAATAATAGAATCCACAAAATGAATGGCGAGGCGACTTCTGGAACATTCCACAGGAGTCTAAAATAATCTGAACCAACACTTCTAATATTCCAAGCTCATCACATCACTTCCTATAATATACCACCACCCTCACCACCACCGCCAACACAAACTCAAACCAAAGCCGAAACCAAACCATTCAAAAGTTAAAGCCAAAGGCAGAGTTTTTTCATTTAGTTTTTCAAGTAGAAGAAGAACAAAATAGTGAAACTGAAGAAGAGAAAGAGAGAATAAGAGATGGAGACCATGGGCGTCGACTACTACAAAATTTTGCAAGTTGATAGAAATGCAAAAGATGATGATCTGAAGAAAGCTTATAGAAAACTTGCCATGAAGTGGCATCCTGATAAGAACCCAAATAACAAGAAAGAAGCTGAGGCTAAGTTTAAACAAATCTCTGAAGCCTATGATGTATGTTTTTATTCTTTTTTTTTTTTTTTAAAGTATTTTTGAAAATATTAAACTTTGATTGATATTCTTTTTGTTTGATTTTGTAGGTTCTGAGTGATCCCCAAAAAAGAGTTGTATATGATCAGTATGGTGAGGAGGGCCTAAAGGGCCAGGTGCCACCGCCGGATGCTGGCGGTTCGGGTGGTGGAGCAACGTATTTCTCCACCGGAAACGGACCGACGTCGTTTCATTTTAACCCGCGAAGCGCGGATGATGTGTTTCGGGAGTTTTTTGGTTTTTCAAGCCCATTTGGTAGTAGTGGTGGGATGAGAGGGTCAAGGTTTTCAAGTGGGATGTTTCCAGAGGAAATGTTTAGTTCTTTCGGTGAAGGAGGAGGATCAATGGGTGGCGGTGGTGGTGGGCCTCGGAAAGCTCCACCAATTGAGAATAGGTTACCTTGTAGCCTTGAAGAGCTCTATAAAGGGACTACTAAGAAGATAAAGATCTCCAGAGAGATTGCTGATATAAGTGGGTATGTTACAATATCTGCTCCGCTTTATTTTTGCTTTAAATTCCAAGTTATGCTTGCAATAAACTTTTTAAGTTACTTTTGCCATAATTTTATTCATAAAGCATCAAATTATTCGTTCTGGTTCTTATAATGCCTATTGAAATGTTATTATTCCGGCATAGTTTATATATGAAGGAGTACTATTACACTATTAGCTGCTAGAAAGTAGAATTTGGTCGTTAGTTGTTAGATATAACTTTAGTGATATGAAAGCGCCCCATCTTTAGAAAAGTGGGAAATCAAATTACCCAATCTTTATCTAGTGTACACTAACTTGATTGATAGTTTCCATTTTAAACAAGTTTGATGTATGACACGAGGGAATATATATGGGGTTCTAACTATGCACATGTAGCGCTTTTAGAGTCAAAAAGTGATACACTTGTATGCGTGGGTACAATAATGATGCTTCCTTCAAAGAAAACATCCAGAGCTATTTCAACTAGGATGGCTTGTTACATTTCATATTTCAAGTTGTGGAAATTTATTTGACAACGTGTTTTGCACTACTTATAGATTGGATTCTACAGGCGTGTGGACCAAAGATATATGTTTAACTGGGTGTAGTCGAATGATTAAAACTAAGTTTAGAACATATCACTCAAAATTTGTGCAGATGACTTACTTGATGTGCTTCTGGCTTCTTGAAGATCAATCAATTGTTGTTTATAGCATCGTTTTCCTTCGTAACTAGTTGGTGAATTCTGGTTCAAAAGTTTCCCTGATCATAAGGGAGCCTGTTTCACCTAACTTTTTCTTGTTGGGTTCAGCAAAAAAATGCAGGTGGAAGAAATACTAACCATTGATGTGAAGCCCGGATGGAAGAAAGGAACAAAGATCACCTTCCCTGAGAAAGGAAATGAACAACCAAATGTTGTACCTGCAGATCTCGTCTTCATCATTGATGAGAAGCCTCACAGTGTGTTCACCAGAGACGGAAATGATTTGATTGTTACACAAAAGATATCTTTAGCAGAAGCCTTGACAGGCTATACAGTTCATCTGACGACTCTGGATGGCAGGAATTTAGCCATTCCTATCAATACTGTAATTCATCCTAACTACGAGGAGATTGTACCAAGGGAAGGGATGCCACTTCAAAAAGATCCATCAAAGAGAGGAAACTTGATAATCAAATTCAATATCAAGTTCCCAACAAGGTTGACTGCTGAGCAGAAAGCTGGAATCAAGAAACTTTTAGGTCCTTGAGATTGGTATGACCAAATAATACTGAGGCTGAGCACATTTTTGTGAATATTAATACATTTCAGATTTATCTGAATCTTTGCAAAAACATAGTGGTATCATGGTTGTTATCTTCTTATATTGTGATTTAGAAATTAAATAATTTAATTCGATTTTTAGGGATATTTGGAGTTGTTTTAATACATTTAACAATCATCGCATTCTCAAAAGTAATCGGCAGTAAACCAGTGTAGTCGAACAAATATTTGTTTCTGCATTATATCATAACATATTATCAATTCGTCGACCTTGTCTAACAATTTTTCCCAACTACCGATTGTAGATAAAAACTGTCAACTTGCTGAAATGTCGTTCATGTTGTTAACTTTTCAGACGACATGCCGTTCGGTCTTTCTGAAAAGACCGAAATCATGGGAAAAAACTATTGTAGAAGTAAAACAACCAAAATATGTCAAAAAAAAAGAAAATTAAAACTTTACAGCAGATGACTTACATACAATTCCAACCCAAATAAATAAAATGTTTTGTCTAAGTCAAGAATCATTCCAAAACATCCTTTATATCAACATAAAAGGATTAGGCATAAGAACCGTGTAAAAATTTGAGAAACGTTTCCAGTTGATGGAGGGTGAGGCAGAATTTGTACCAAATGGCGGAAGGAGTTCATGAATTAAAGGGGGGACATTCATTTATGTATAATACATTAAGTAAAAGTGGAGATGCTCTGGACAATCATCTATCCCTCTGTAAAAACTAAAAAGTACACACACTTTGCCTATTGGGATAGCGCTGTACACCATCGAACAAAAGAATAGAATTTCACAGTGCTAAATTTGTTCTACATGATTATCTCTCTTCACAGTTAAGCTACCCATCCTTTACTCTAGTCACTAAAATCTGTAGAAGTTGATCCCGTACCTTGTTCAGGATCTACATTCCGTTCTTCATCTCCTACCCTCATACCTTCTTCATCTGACTCCTCGTTTAGGTACTCTTCAACATCCAAATCTCCCTCTTCATCATCCTCATCTTCTTCATTACCATCTAAATTATAATCACTCCCCTCCTGTTGGTCATTAAGCCTGCCATCAAAACTACCGCCATATGTGTCCAACATATCATCGTATTCATCTCCTGTTGCTTGACCATTTTCATCGTCATACTCTGATCTTTCAAAGCTGCTATGATTTTCAGCACGTTCTTCTTGCAATTTTGTCATTTCGTCCCTATTCCATTCATCCCTCACTAAATTTCTTGATTGCTCAAATATGCTTTCTTTCGGAGTCTCTCTCTCTCCAACAACCCCAACCACCTTCTTTGCTGCTTTCTGTCTACTTCTAGCGCTGCGACGACCACGCTTGGGCCCTCGTCCACGAGGTTGCTCTTTCCATACCAGTACCTGCCCCAATCTATCTTTGTTGATGTTTGTACTCTTTTTACCAGATTCAGATCTGGAACCACCAACCCTTCTCTGAGATCTGCCACCTTGAGTACGTCCACGAATTCTCCCACGGTTTGTTCGTCCACGGTTCTGGCCAGCAAGTCGAATCCCCACATCAATCCAATTTCCCTCTTGAGAATAACTGGCTTGATATGAAGTTTCTACTGCTTCATCAACTCTGGAATTCTTGACAACAGCATATTTTGATGGAAACTTCTAAGAAATTAAAAGAAAAGATGTCAGTAGCAATCCCTTTTGGCATAATAGTATATCTAAAAGCTAACCATAAAGTATGACTCCAGACCAATGACCCGCCATACTGCACATATCTAACATGCTTGGCATACAACACTGAAGTGCTCTAGAAAGCTAAGGTGCCCCCTTCAAAAGTTGGTGACAGGCAAACATAAATATTTCGTTTCAGAGATATAGGGTGTAGTTTTGATGACAGATTATATCTTCAACACAACAAACAAAATTCAATCTCTTGAAGACACCATACATACATCAAAAGCTTTGTAACATGCAAACGGAGAGAAGCACCCTTTCAGATTTCATTCCATGCTAAAAGGCAACCATATAGAATCCAGAGGATTTCTGGCCAATAGCTGACTCTGTAATACCCTTAACTCTGTGTAGCTCAGATACAGATGTAAGACTAAAACGTTCCTTCATATACCATAGACTTGACTTCAATAAGAAGCATGTTCCATTTTAATATTTTATTCATATTCTCCCCTTGTACATTCAGGAGTAAATTTACACTGAGAAGGGTTACTCACCACAATGTCACCTTCTTTCTTGTCCTTCTGATGAGATTCCACTTTCTGATGTGGCAGATAGGATATGGATGCATCAAATTCCATGAGCCTTAAAGCTACAGCAGCTGTTGTATGTGGTACCCATGGTAGAATACAAACCGTTTCTGGACTGGAAGGACCATTAGGAGTACATGCTGCTAATGCGTTAGAAGAATCCAACAACTCACTAGTTGTTTCAAAATTTGTAGACAAATAATCCCTCTTTATGGCACTCTCCAACTGTGTCAGACCCTGAAAATGACAAAAAGAAAATGCATTGTTCAACTTCATAGTTCCTCCAAAAGTAAATCTAAAGAAATTAATCAAAGCAATGACAACACAAGCAAAATGAAGAATCTCCCACTAACATAAGAGTATTATGTTTAGTTACAGTGAATTGTATATTAAAAAAAAAAAAGCATTAAATTTACAAGAAAAGGGGCAAGAGGAGAAACTAACCCGATGATGCTACAAATTACGCAAAAAAAAAAAAAAAAAAAAAAAAACCCCATAATGCTACTACATTTTACCTCCAAATTCGTCAGATATATTCCTGCAGATTGAAACTATTACCATGGGCTTGCAGCACAAGAATTCCAAAATATGGTCGGTCCCAGGGAGCCCATCAAGGGCCTAAAGGGACCACTGCCCAAAGGTTTCTAACAATATATGCATGCGAATTAAATGTTTTTTTTCTTTTAAAGCCCCACAATCAGGCTTCAACACATTTTAGAGATTATACAACTAAAGGAGTTTTAGGGCCTATTCAACATTGTCTCCCAAATTCATTTTTGGTGAAAATTTATTTTTCGGACTTGAAAACAATTAAATTGAATTTTACACTTTAAATCCAATACTATATTTGGTAATATATTGAAAAACAATTTTTCAGAAACCAGGTTAAAATGAACCAACATACTTATGCAACCATATAGGAATATTGTGCCAAAAATAACTAGTCTGAAATCGACTAAAAGAAGAAAAATTAAAAACTAAACCAAGATTAATGCTGAAATGATAAGAGCAATTGAGAACTCCTTGGCACAAACTTGATTACAACCCTCTTAGTTTTAATTATTATTCCAACTTATTAAGAGAAGAAAACAAAAGGCTCCTAAGCCTGGGTTTTTACAGCTGCTCCCTTTTTTCCAACTTCCCTGAACTTTCGTATCTCTTGCTATTATTCAGCTGGGTAGATGCTATGTCTATTTATTTCTCTCTACTCATTGTCTATCCATATATCTCTGTCTTGCTTCTCCTTATGTATCTTAGGCTGCTCCCTTTTTTCCAAGTTCCCTGAACTTTCATATCTCTTGCTATTATTCAGCTGGGTAGATGCTATGTCTATTTATTTCTTTCCACTCATTTCTATCCATATATCTCTGTCTTGCTTCTCCTTGTGCATCTTAGCTAGTTTGACTTGCATTCTATAATTCTAAAAGTTTGCACCACCCCGACTCAGAGAAAATTATCCAGTACCTAGAATCCTTACCAATTATGTACCAAATAATCAAGAGTTCGTCAAAGCTTATGGTATAATTTCTTATGTTTTAAATCTTTTTTTCACATGCTTTGTTGAACCTAGGGGCTGTTAATTTAATAAATTTTCAGGGAAAAAAAAAGGCTTGCTTAATAAGTAAAATATGATTGGATCCATTGTTTCACTTTTGCCGCTACTTAGTGTTTTTGCTTTGCTGTACATAATTGGTTCCTTACTTTCATTAAGAACTCCGAAAAGCAAGTCCACTAGAAACTCTTGGCTGCATTGACTTCTAACTAATTGGGAATAAAAACAAGATGGATCAGTGGAAAGAAAGTTTAATATGACATGCAAAACAATAAGCGAAACCACAGCTTACCATGTCCGATAGTAAAACGTGGGCAAGAAATATAGAAAATATCAAAAAAATAGAAAGTGAAAAATTGTTTGAAATCATAAACAGAAAAAGAAATAAATGCATGAAAAGGGAAAAGCCAAAATTTTAAACCTGAATAAGTTCTGCAGCTGATAATGAGGAGTGGAGCTTTGTACCCCACGATTTTCTACGCCCGTCAGTCCAATCAGGTTGTAGAGCTTCTGGTGGAATACAAACCTGCCAGCCACAACATAAACATGATAAGAAACAGTCAATGTGACACTAAAAAATATATATTGAAGAGAGAAATTAAATACTAAAGCAATATTAACATAACATCATCTGTAATTATGCCAAAAATAGAAATTTACTCACCTCAACAAATGATAATAGCAGTTTGAGCAATCTGATTCTCATAGGAGAAGCAAGAGAAACATCAGAAGTACAGTCGTGGTCCCTTTTCAGTTTCCCTTCACATTGAGCCACATGTTCAGAAACATTTAAGTTTCTATTGAAAGCATTAAAGGTCCCATGGCAAGATGGACAGTGGTTGCCTTCAAAAAGATAAATATCATGGCAGTAATCACATGCACTCATCACTTGCTTGCACCTTTTCTTTACATACTTCATAGCACATAATACTAAAGAATTAGCACATTCATTCCACATCCACCTCTCGTAATCTTCATATCTCTTCAAGGCATCATTTCTCTCAGTTACATTCCTTCCCAGCCCAATCAAAAAGGTTGTTGAGGTCTCTGACATATCAGAATCTGAAACACACACAGTACTGCTGGGGCTATCAGTGTCAATATTGCAATCAGGGCAAGGAACTGTTTGAAAAGATTTTGGCTTGGCAGTTTCTTGATTTTGTCTGTGTGTGTTCACATCCACCATGCTTCTCCTAACAGTGTCCTTAAAGGACATCTCAATCTTTTGCAACATTGAGTGTAAATGGGATTCCCTAACCCCACGGAGATCCAAAGATGCCAACAGAGCATCAAAATCCTGCATGAAGAACAGTAAAGGAATTTAAAAAGGATGGGAAACATACAAGCACATGGATGATAAAGCAAGCATACACACATATAAGAAAGTATGTCAACTAGGCACTGCTCCATGGTAAATAACAATGAAGAGAAAAAAGAACAGATGGCATGTTAAACCATGTAGCTTTCCAAAATAATGATTGCAATGTGACAGATGTTTCTTGCCTTTCCTTCCATCAAAAACTCAAGGTGGAGGGAGGATAGCCAACCACAAGCAGAATTAAGTAGAGAAACACAGGTTAAACACATAAAGACACACACTGAGATGATGCTATATGTAATCACATAGGAAAGAAAAGTCACTAGAGAGAACACCACCTCCTCAGAATCAATCAATCTCCAATGACCATCACGTAACTCAACAAAGATCCTTCCACATCCAGGATCATTCCGAGATACAGATGTAATAAAACGCCAATACCGATTACGTCTGCGATCCTGACCAAGTGGTAATGATCTATACACATACATTTCTTCTGCCCTGTGGCCAATGTATGACTTTAACTGTGAGCGTGACTTCTCAGCAGCATATGCTGCTTGCTGATATTGGAGATTATCGATGCCAATGGTGTAATCTTGCATTTGCAAATTCCCTTCAGGTGGCATCATACAATTATGGTCATGCTGCTGATCATTTAACAGTTCCTGCTTAATGGTAAGGTCCACTGATGTCTCATTATTTTTGTCATCAATAACAACAAAAGGGCTTTGCCTACCCTCCACTGAAGAATTTGCAACATTCGGTTCTGTCTTGTTCCCCATATATGCTGAAAAATTCATTTTTGATACATAGTCTTCCTTAATACGCCGTTTATCAAGTTGTGCCTCTACCCACATTTGCTTCTTTATAGCATTTGCAGCTTCCAAGCGTTCCTGAAAAGTAATCTTATTTCAGCCTAAATGCAGAGGAGAAAATTGGAGCAAAATATTTTATGTTTTCATCAAAAGAACAAAGAAACGATACCTCAAGCACAATACGAATTGAGTTTCCTTCGATTGCCACACCAACTAAAGCAACAAGAGCATTAAGCCGCTCCTCAACAGTGAGATCAGAATACTCCCCCTCCATTAGTCCTTGAACCCATGGTTCACCAGGATTGCTTTCATCAATATCTGCATTGGCTTGACCAGTAGTAGTTGCATCAAGGCAAACTTCAGCAGCATTTATGGATTGACCAATCAAACCATCAGATCCTTTTATTTCACAGAAGCCTTCTGAACTCTTTGAAGACAGGCCCTCACCAGATCTCCCAAGGCCACCTAGTGGAATTTCTGTAACTTCATTGGTCTCCGTTCTGTTTCCCAAGAGAGTTTTTGTAAAATTCTTTGCTTCCCGAGAATTGGGTTTCTCCTCCTTTAGATTCAATTCAGTACCTAAATCATCATCCTCAGGATCCTCCGCTACATCACTTTCAGAGCCTTCATCTCTTTCAGCATCATCAGCCTCTTCTCCATCAATAAATCCACTATTAAATATTCGAACCCTTTCTCTAGCTGCAGAAAGTATTGCCTCAGAATCAACTGGGTCTTTCCTATAAGCCGTACGTACACAATATGTTGAAGGAGCTGTTCTCTCAAAAAGTTTAGAATCCCTAGACAAAGCAGCAGAAATAGAAGCTTCTGGTGTCTTGCTCGTTGTAAGATCCCTCAGTCCAGATTTCTTATCTCAAAAGTAAAATCGTAAGAAGTCATACTCACTACAGTAAAAGAATGACAAAAACTGATAGATATAGAACTACCTGAATTTTGTCTGCAACCTCTAATATTGTCAGGCCCTTGCTTCCCTCAAGAGAAAGAACATGAAATGCAGCAAATTTAACTGTTCCAGGTGTCAAGCGATGCCTAGATCTGCGTGAATTGGAGAAACCCCTTTCTTGCATTATGGCAACAGCATTTTCTGCTGCAGCCCCGTTGCGTAAATTAGAAATTATATCTCCACCATCACTCCCCTGCACTTGTACACAAATTTAAACTCATCATAAAACTACAAAGAATATTTTAATGGATAAAGTAGCAGTATCTTAATTCTTAACAAACAATCCAAACACATGTTCAAGAAAATAATTGTCTACAAACATGAGTAACCAAGATATCCTTGGAATAGAATTTTCATAACACAAACTTAACACAGATAATGAAAGAAATTGCTACTACAACATGACAAAATCATTCAGATCTCAATAAGACAAGACAGCTTCCACATTAAATTAAATTCTGAATACATAAAGAATAATAACCTCATAGTCATCATGAAGACATGCTTGCTCAATATTCCTTTTCTTCAGTTGAGGACCGAATCCGGCAGATAGAGCAAATTGCCGCAAAATTTCAGGCCATGTTAATGCATTTAAGTGGTGCTGCCAACTGCGTATATTAAATCCCCAAGAATATGCCTGAAACAGATTGCCAACATATAGAAAAAGGGGGAAAAACTGGTTAAGTATGCAAGCTAACCAAAAACTACAAAAATCGCAGCAGGAACATGAAACTATAGAACAGCATACCCCTTTAACAATCTGTGGATGCCCACCTCCAGGATTGGCAGCACTACTTTGATTTGTTCCTAGCCCAGTAACGGGTGTCTTCACAGCATCCTCCATATCTTTAATTATTGATCTTAGAAGAGCAATATGTATTTCACCCAACAACCTTGGATCCTGAAGATCAGAGAGTTGAAAATGCATATCAATGCAACAAAACAAGGCACTGCCCAGCTCCAAATTGACTTCAAAACAAAAGTCTCAAAAAAAAAATGAGAAATATGCACCTACATAATCATGAAAAGCTTGGACAAACTCATCCAGAGTAAAAGGCCAAAGCCCAAGAATGTCTGCAAAAGTAATTAAGAACCTCCAGACCTGAAATGTTTTAATCACATTCAAAACACCAAATAAGAATTATGCAAAGCAAAACAAGAATCTATTGTCAAGTCTGCACAACTCTAATAATAAGATTTTTTTTTTGTCGTGGGGGGGGGGGGGTGGTATAGTATAAAGAATGAAAGAATGAGACCCCAAAAAGAGAGTCTCTACAAGAGTTTATGCGTCCTGGACATTCCCAGGAACCAAAATAAGATATTCTTATACAGCATTCCAGATTCAATTAACAATCACAACCTTATCTGGGAAAGAACCAAAAATAGAACACAAGGAAACTTACTACTTCAACTCACCATGAGAAGATTCCCTACATTCTCCTCAGAACCATTCCATGGTAGAATTGCAAAAGGCCTTTTCAATTTCACAGATTTAGGTGGGAAGGGACACAATACATCTGAAACAGAAATAATTGATTAGCTGCTCATGAGATGAAAATTAAAGCATATGACTCAAACCCCAAAAAAGTCTCAAGTAGCAGAGCAAGAATAGGACCACTGTATATCCTTAAAATATGCTAACTGATATATGGTTGAAAATTCATATAATCAATTTACACGACAAACAGAATGACATCACATTCTAATTTCCATTCAAAATGTAAACATCTAAAAATATCTCTACAAAATTTAAGCTCAATACTGGGACAACAAATATTATTCTAAATATGTCGAATTTAAAAAGTCCAGACTACTCTAAATTGGTCAAATACGCACATATGTGCAGTTAAAACAAGAATTTAATAAAGTATAATCAATGTTCTTAAACTGATTTAACTGGTCAAATCACCAAAAAGAACAAAAAGTAAAAGTACCCAGGCGTAAATTACCTCTAAATGATTCAAGATTTTGCAGAGTTTCAAAATCAAGAGACAGTATTGTAGGCAGTCCTTTGCTTGACGCAGCTAATTCCATGAGTTCCAAGCGTTCATCCTCTATAAGTTCCATTGATTCTTTAGCAATTTTGCGAGCAATAGCTCTCTCATTGGCAGCTCTAAGCCTTGCTGCCTCCTTTTCTCTGCGTAGTTCTTCTTTTTGTCTCATTTTCTCAGCCTGAGTACACAGAGAACATAACTCTTATCCTCATATACAACACTAAGATAGGCATCTTAGAAAGATAGGTTTCCAAACTCACTCTAATTGATTCCTTCTGCAAAAACTTCTCCCTCCTCTCCAATTCACGCCTTTGTTCCCTCAAGTATCTCTCTTCCTCCCGCTGCTTTTCACGCAACAGCCTTTCCTCCTCCTTTCGCCTTTCACGGTCATGCCTTTCCATTTCTTTCCTAATTTGTTCTTCTCTCTTAATATACAAAATGATGCTATCAGTATACAACTTAAGAATTAATTAAGAAAAAGCAAAGGTAGTAAGCAAGACCTTTCGCCTCAAAATATCTTGTTTTTCGAGTTCTTTTCGTATCCTTTTTTCATGCGCTTCAACTTCCCGTGCTATTCTTGCCTCCTCACTCTGCAAGTAAATGTCATGCATGAGATGCTAGTTTCTTATTTTTTAGCATTCAATACATCATATAGCATTAAGTACCTTGCGCTTTTTTTCCATCCGTGAAGCATCCTCATCAAGGGTAACCCTCCTGTCAGATGAGACAAATTGATTTTCTAGTGCTGTAATTGCATGAGCACCAAAATGAGCATCTAAAGCAGTGTTTACAAAGGAGTTCTTTCGTGGAACATTTTCATACTCTTCCGAAGCAGACGGCAAAAGGTGGTTCTGCCTGCCTTGTTGAGAAAGAAGATTTAAACTAGGCAGTTGACCCGGAAAACCATATCCAGAGGATACTTGTTCATTCCCATGCATGAATGAGTGCCCAGTAGACAGTGATGGATTCCTGGTGTTTGAACTATCAACAGGTGAACCATAGTGGTAGGATGGGGCAGCTCTTTCATAAGTGTCGGTTCTAACAGTTGGCTGCTCGGGAAGAAACTGGTATTCATGAAGAGTCCTTGTGGCGCACTGAGGATGAACCGTGAACATATCCTGCCAATAAGTTTTTGGGTTATACACAATAATGTTTTGGGAGAAAAGAAAACAGTACTCAACATTGACCAAAGATTTTCAGAAAAAAAGCTGTCCACATCTAAACAAAAAATACAATAGTACACAGGCATACTACTTTTCAAAAAAAAAAAAAAAAAAATGAAAATCATAATAATCAAATATTTTGAAATGACTGAAACCAAGAAAAGAAAACTGAGTTGTAATTTCCAACAAGACAAAGGTAATCACTCACAAAAAATTAACAATGTATCCAGATGGTAGGTATAAGCTACTATGTAGAAACAGGGAGTCTAACCTTGACTGGTTTCACATCAGGTCGGTCATACTGTTTAGTCTCAAAAGGAAGCCCAGGGTAATTCTGCTGTCCCCCTGTTGCTGGTCCTAGTGTAGTATAAGGAAGTTATTAGGGAAACGACTGTTGAGTACCTTCAGCACATAAAACCATATAAACTGAAGCAAGGAAAATTAAGACTATTGTATTTACAGCTTCATAGGTAGTTTTTCAATAGTTCAAACATAATGAGAGGAAAAGAACACAAGATTGACAAATAGAAATGCATTAAATATGCAGAAAAAGCCATAACTTTAATAAGCATGTGAATATTAAGATCATATCCCCTCTAATATTACTTTTGGAATTTCATCTAATCAACTCATAAGAACAAGTTGTCAAGGAATATTACAAGCGTAGACCACCAATCACTTCTCACTTTAAAATCTTTTAACTCAGAACCACAACTTGGTAGCAAAACTATTGCATTTGCAACAACCCTTCTAACCTTAATTTTGATTAACAATAGAAGCCTCATAAAGTCAAGACACCACCCTGAGACAGTAACATAGTTCCATTGCCAATGTTGTCTCCCAAGAAACTCAAGGACCCAAAACATGCCAACTGCATTGATGAAGAAGAGAAAATGTGACGTAAAGAAAGTTTACCATCCTACAATCAAACAGTTATAACTCTAGCACATACAGCTGGAACAATTGGGAAACCTTTTTACATAAGCATGTAAACCCCATCATTTTAAAAGCACAACAAAAACATCTAGAACAAAGGCATGCCCATGTTAAGTTCAAACAAGCATTCACAGCATTTGACATGTAAATATCAAGAATAACATATTTCTTATGCAACTCTTTTAAATATCGGCAATGCTGCTACAAATTGGCACACGGTTGCAGATTTTGCTTTACTTGGATATCTCCTCCTCTCAATTGAAAACATACCTATATAAAACAAATTTCATTTCGCAAGTAGTTGTAACTTGTAACACCTCCTGGGGACGAGGTTTCTCTAAATTTGCCCATAAAAAGTTCTAAATGGTAACTAATCCATCAAAGTAATACCTATTAAGTTGCTTTCCCAAACAAAAACTTACTGAATCAAATGAAAATTCAGCATGACTAAACCTACCTATAGGTGCCCCAAATGCATCAGGCGGCAAAGGATCAAATTCCATTCCGATAATGGGCCCATCCTCTCTCAAAGGCTCCCCCAGCTGCGCCTCAACAAAAGCAATAGCTCTCAGTTCCGCAATACTCTGTTGAGGCGGCGGCATTTCGTAATACCTCTTCATTGCCGCGACGTCACCCCCAATCCTCTGAACTGCCATACCGGCCCGCGCAAAGGGGCTGGAGTCAGTTCCCGCCAATTCTTTATCGCCACCTGGCAGTGGGACCGCGGATGGAGAATCTTTCGGCTGACGCTTTACAGGTGGCGCCTTCCGGTCTTTCAGACGCCGGTGACAGAACCACATCTGTAACTGCCGATCGGACAAACCCAACTGCGTCGATAATTCCGCTCGTAGCTCTTCAGACGGGTAACTATGCACTGATACAAAACCAAATTTACATTAACCCACTAAAAAAAAATTAATATAAAAATAAAAACTAAAATGAAACTGATACTGATACTGAAAACAAACCAGCATAAGTTTTTTCAAGAATTTCAAGCTGAGAAGCCGTCTTCATTTTGCGCTTGGACTTAGTTTCACCTTCCGGTGGCTTCTTCTTCTCCGCTTCACTTCCACCGTCCATTTCTCAATATCAAACCAAAAAACCCTAAATCACAAAACTCCAAAGATACTCTCAATCAACAAAGAAAGAGAAAGCAATTGGGCGTTGGTTCAACTGTGTTAAAAGAAAATTGGGTTTAGAGTAATGAGTGAAAAGAGGAATAACAAAAATTGAGAGTTTCTCTCTCTAGAACAAAAACGAGGTGAAGTTATCTGTCTAAAGAATCGTAATGGATGATCATGTTTCGGTTTTTGGTGTGTGTGAATGAGTGATTGAGATGTGCGGTGAGATGGAGATTTGAGGAATAATAACCCAATACAAATAATAATAATAAATATTGGGGTTATTAATATTAATTGTCGTCGTAGCTGTTGAAAAATAAATAAATGAAAAGAAAGAAGAGAAGAGAAGATTGTGATGGTATTTGAGAAGAAACTACGAACAAACAAAGAACGAACAGTCTTTCTCTCTCCCATATTTTTAAAAAGTAAAAATTTTAATTTATTTTTCTTTTGGGGAAAAATAATAGTTGGTGTTGTCAGATGATGCTTTTTTTGAAATGGAGAGAGTAAGGTAAGGGTTAGAGGGATTGATTCACAAATGGGTTTTGATTTTCTTTCTTTCTCTTTGTTTTTTAAAAAAGGTTAATTTTATACTGGACGAGAGTTTCGCTTCTTATTTAATCCTCACTCGCTTAATCCTACCGCTTCTTTCCCGCTTCTTGTTCGTTTCGTACGAGGACGTCCCTGACCGCCATCTATAGCGCGTGCTCCCACGCTCTATTTTCCACATATATATATATATATATATATCATTTTACACTCCGAATTATGCCTTTCAAAATAATGGATAGACATTCATATATAGTTCATATTAATCAAATAAATCACTTATAATACATTTTTAATTATTTATTATTTACATATATAATAGTCAAGCCACGTAGCATTGTGAGAAAGAAAAACTGATAGTATTAACATTTTTATAAAGTCTAGCTAATCTATTGTGTTCACAAATAAAATATGCTCATAATTCATAATCTTAGCATGACAACTTCATTTAAAAGATGAGCACCATGAGATAATAATAATGCACTTTACTTACTATACAACCTGTTATAATTTTAAATACACATCATGATGTATTTGGTATAATTTATTGAAATAATAAGTAAAAACATATTTAATAAAAAAATTAATTTTTCAAAATAGAGGTTGATACAAAATAATTAGGAGGTAATTATCTCTAGTTGTTCTATTGATTTAATAAAGATTTTTAGGTATTACTTAATAGTTAAAAAATCTTAAATTCAAGCCTATTTTTAGATGTTAATAAGAATAAAGAAAAAAAAAAAAAAAACTCTTATGACTCTTATAATAAAAAATAAAAAAAAAAATAACTAGCGGGTCTTATAATTTAACGACGCGCTCTAAAAACCAGGAAGAAATTTGTGGAGAGTGTTTAATTTCTTGGAATGAACCCACATTTCGTTACTATAAAAGTCTGGGTGGACCCTACTTTTTATTATTATCTAAGACTATTTGAAGATGTGGAACAGAACTCATTCATCATTCAGACAGTTAAAGTTTGGAGTTTGGATTGAATTTTAATCCTCAACCTTGACCAACACCAATCTCACCTGTTTCCTCTGTTTTAGCAACAACTTACGTATTAATCCTTATCATTTATTCTTAATTATAAATTAAACTATTATACTTGGCATTTCTGGGTTGAAAAGTATGCCAATTGGAAAACATAATTTAAGTCAAGCCAAAACGAAATTTTGTGAAGAATCAGAGGTTAGATTCCCTCCAATAATTCACTTCTTTTTATCTTAAGTTAGATTGGTCGTGTTTGGATGAAATAACGACGTGGTATCAAGAACTAATGATTAGAAGTTGTGATAATCTAATGAGTTCACTACTTTTTCATACCCAAATAATTGTTTGATGACAATTTTCTATCCAGATGCTTTTAAAATACTATTTTATTATCCAAATTCATATTCCGAGGACAAATAGAGAACAAACTCGATCCAAGCTATTAGCGTTTTTGAAAATAGGAGGCCGATAAGTCTTCTAGTGGTGAAATATTAGATTTTAATGGTTGAGATTAATCAGAATTTGATTTGGGAGCGGTTATGCAAATCCTAATTGCTCAATTGCTTGCGATTGACAAGGTTGAAAAGAGAATGGTAATGATGTAAGATCATAACGATGTCAGAATCAGAAACATAATATAAATTTGGGTTTTGGATAGTAAAATGATATTTTAAAAATTTGTAGATAAAAAAATATCATTAAGTTGTTATTTTAGTGGAAAAAAGTCGTTTACTCTAATCTAATAATAATAAAAAGCAACCACATTGTGAAGACATTCATTTAGCGAGGCCATAGCCATATCTCAAAGAAGTTGAAGTCATTAGACATTAATGGTATATATAGCAACCACTTATTATTATATATACTGTTTTAATGCGAATAAATGGTAGCATAGCCTATATTATTACGAGGCAGGAACACAGGCCTAAATCCAAAATGTTAATAGCTTTCTGTGAAAATTGAACGTCCATTGTCAGTCTTAATTTCTACAGGCTTGTGGTTTACAAATGTTTATTTAACACCAACAAAACTGAACGCTACCTTTCCTTTACACAGTGATAGATGTCAGCTGCAAATGTGTAACGGCTCCATTAATTTTGGAAGGTTATATCATTTGGATTCGACGTAATATTAGTGATACGTAATGGCATCATCATGTACACTTCAAAGTTTTATACCCTGGCAAATCAATTGGATGCGTCTATAATATCATCATCAGGTTGGTGGATGGATTAATGTGCTTGAAGAGTTTGCCTCGTTTGTCATCAAGGTTTTGCAAATGGCTCGGAGATCAAAGGAATATGTACATAGTTCCTTTATTGGTCTTCCCTATCGGCAACGCATCTTTAATAAAGAATTCAATAGCCCTGGATTAGCATATGATGATAATCCTTTTGATGAAAGCTACATGAACAAGAAAATGAGTTTGGCCACAAGTACTAATGAAGGTTCCTTGTTATTGATATCACTTTTCCCTGTAAAATGCAACTGAAACAAACATGCATACATGAAGGAACATTTCCCAGACGAACATGCATATATAAAAGAGGAACAAGAGACTATAAACTCACAAATGAGTAGGATACATATAAAAGGTTGAGGCCGTAGAGGATGGGAGAAATCAATACTAATTACGAGACACAGGGGAGTGAAATCCATGGCGCTTGGTTGGGAACGCAACAAACGATGCGCCACACACCGTGCTTATTCCAATAGGCATTGCAATTAGGAGCTCCCTGGTTTTATTCGATGGCTCTGGATAGAAACACTTGATAACGTTTTGGTCAAACAAAGCAACTGCTACGAAAAGCAACATGGACATAAAGGCAATGGAAAAAATCGATGAACTTTATCCGATACTTAGCTGCCTCCTCTGCAGAAAGCTTCTCTCCTTCAATGACCCACAACCCTTTGAACGTGGCTACACCGTATCGAACTTTGCCTTTTGCATCCCTGAAACTATCGGTAAAACAAAATAAAAAACAAGAGATGGCACATACTGCCAAAAGGCCAACCGTCAAATATTGGCTAAAGATTTTGGTACATTGCCCTTTATGTGTGAAAATTGGAGATAGAAGTTGGAATGTGACGACGGAACCGGAAGGAAGAAGCTTTGTCAAATTTGTTGTTCCTTTGCAGGTTTTTCTTACAGCCTTCTGTCTTCGTGTTTTTGGTTGTTTCTGGGTTGCACTGTCCAAAAGGGACTGTTGGTGTGCGGCATGATGAGATCCCCCATGTTCTTCCTTGACTGCCATTAACTAAATTATTATGTTCTCTGCACACAATGTTTTGTTTTTTTTTACAAGTAATGTTTAGAACTGCAAAAGAAATTTGTATGTCAGAAACTGAAAGCCTGAGCCGATATTTATGTTGCGGTGAAACTAGTGTGCCTTCTCTGTGCACTCAAATATGTTCTTAGACAAATTCAAGTGGTTGGCAATTTCTTCGGTGAATTGAGTTATCTTTTACACATTGTGGAGGCTTCTCATCATTAAAGCTCTGAAATTTTGATAGTAGTGCGATTACTTTTATTGTGCACTAAGCAGAATGCGGATAAATTTGCTTTCAGGTTTGTTAGTTGAGAATTGAATGGTAGGTTACTTAAAATTCTTCTTGAGATATGAGATAGTTTGTTCCATAATTTGTTGATTTCCAGTTTCAGGTATTCAAGTTTTGAGAGCTAGACTTTTGTTTTGTAGTCTCAGAAATATGAACCTGTTTAGAGTGTAACTGATTACTGACATATCTTCTTGATGATGCCACCCTTGAATATTTCATCCTGAAACTTAGCTTACGTCAGTTTTAAACGCATGTATGCAACTCATTCACATGATGATAAAACAATTTCAGAGGGAGCTTCTTGCTCTAAGGACTGAATAATTAATGTTACAAATGAATCATATAAAGTACCGTGGGAATTAAGTAATAAATAAAAGTAACATCAGATGAAATACTAATTACGAGAGAGAGAAGTGCCAATTCCATGGCGCTTGGAGGGGAACAAAATAAACAGTACACTGCACGCCACTCCAATCCAAATAGGCACTGTCACCAAGAGCTGTTTGGTTTCATCTGATGGATGTGGACAGAAACACTTTATAACATTTTTATCAAACAATGCAACTGCTCCGAAAACCAAAATTGACGCAAAGGCATGAAAAAAATCAATGAACTTTAGCCGATATCTAGCGGCCTCTTCTTGTGAAAGATTCAATGATGTATCAAGAACCCATAAGCCTCTGAATGTAGCTAGGCCATGTCTAACTTTTCCTCTTTCATCCCGGAAACTATCGGTTAATCGCAAAATGAAACAAGAAAGTCCACAAATAGCCAAGAAGCCTAAAGTTACAACTCTGTTGGTGTGATTGGGGCATTTGCCTTGATGAGTTAAAATGGGAGAAACAACTTGGAATGTAAGGACAGAACCCGTGGGGAGAAGCCTGACCAAATGCCCTGTTCCTTTGAATGTTCTTCTTATGGCCTTTTGTGCAGGCGTTTTCGGGGGAACTGATGCATTTTCCAGAAGGGGTTGCTTCTTGTCTTCAGCAGCTGCTCTTGACTCTCCATTTTCTATCTTAATGTTCATCACTCTAATCCTCTTCTTATTTTCCTCGGTGATTTTTTGTCTGTTATGATGGATAGATCTGTATGACTTGAAATTACAAATGCAATGTCTTGCAAGGAACTGAACACCAAGCTACACTTAAAAGGAAGCGGGGTTTGGTTTGAGTTTAATTTTGGCAAATAGGATGAGTGAAGCTCAAAATCTTGGCTTTTTATGGTAAAGATTTGTTTTCAGTCTAGTAACTGTTCATGAAATGTTATTAATATATTTGATTACTTAATTAGGGAATTTTATTGCGAGTGTTGGTGGGAGAGATTAAATGAATGGATTGAGTAACATACAAGTTGGTTTTAACTTCTACTTTGATGCAGTGGTGCATATGAGAACTTCGTTACTGGTTAATGGGTAAGTTACATCTTTAATTCCTTAAATGAAATAAACTTAATTTCTCCATGAATATCTAATAACTGACCACATATTTTTTTATTATTATTTTTGCAGAAATAAATGGATCCCCAACTTGTTAGATGTTTCTGTTCGGAGAATAAAGACTAGAGACATGCACCATCATATTCTTTCAAATGTTATCTAGAATTGAGAATATTGAGCTTGGATTTGGGTTCCATCGTGACTTATGGGCTGAGACTGCCCGTTCAGCCCAATCCACTCGAGCTTAAGTAGATGTATAAAAACTTAAAAGGGAAAATTAAAAAATTAAAAAATTCACTTTCCTTTATATGTATCATAGAAATATACCAGATATTAAAAAATCAAATATCATAAATTCACTTTAGAAGTATGGGCACACCAATATTGAAAATTGAAACCATCATAAATTCACTGAAAACGTGCTGCTTCCTGGACTTGTGCTAAGTTTTATGTATATAAAACAGATGAATTTTACAATGTAGCAAATAGTCCAATAAATATATATCTAGGTGAAACAGTTGATGGTTCACTTGATTTATGCGTTTTTTTCTTTTCATTTTGGTGTAAAAGCTTTGACTCATAACTTGTTTTTTTGTTTATGTTGTGTTTGTCATATGTCCCAGCCTTATCTTTTTCTGTCGTTTTGTCCATTTACAGAGAAAACGACAGCGTGTTTGTCACTGTTAACTATCCATCGTTTCCAACTTAGAATCAGTGACAGCCACCCCCTTTACTTTTGATTGGAAATGGAATGTCGTGATTTTTGGGGATTTTAGTAAAAATTAGGCTGATAATCAATTAAATAAAAGTTAATCACCCATTCGCATTAATTATGAACATGCCTTATAGGATTTAAAAAATGAAAGTCGAGGAGGTTCATTAAATTTGTAGTCGTCCCGGAATTTATTACTTCTGCAATTTCGATTCATCCAATTGATTGATGTTGCAACTAAAATATGAAGAACGTTCCTTAGCCGGCGTGGCATTGTTTTTTTGGTGAGGAGCCGCCCTCAACAAAATACATTTGGTTATTGAATACCTACAAACCCTAAAAACCAAATGTGATAAGTAACCCTAACGTTTGCAAGTCTTCTTCACTATCAACTTTAACCCCTTTGGGATTTAAATCTCCTTTCCTTTCTCTCTTTATAAAACAAAATAATAATATTTTGTTTACAATCGAGTTATAGAAAAAAATTATACAAAATTTATGTAAAATGATTATTCTATTATTTGTTTTTTATCTGTTTGTATGATTAAATTGTACAACTTAATTATAAGTATAACATTGCTCAAAATAAAATGCCGATGATTCAATTTGAGTATAACAAATTGCACAAGGTTAGAACAAGGTACATGCTTATTAAATAAATAAATAAGTGTGGATTTTTAATTTACTTCAAATCATCCCTATGTACTTGGGTAATATCATCGCATTATGTAATATAATTGGGAACACATAAAGTGACACAACTACATTAGTCATTATTATTGCATTAATCACTATTATATTAATATCAATAATATTATTCTTATAAAGAAATCTTACAACGATTTTCATACAAAATGAGGTAGCAAAAAATAAATAAAAGAGTGAAACAAAAAGTGAGACTCATTATATTCATTTGTTGCCATGTCATTTTGTATGAAAATTTTTATAAAATTTCTTTGTAAATGTAGCATTATTCTATTAATATAAATCCCGTTAAGGGTACATTATTACACTGTAATAAATAAATGAAATATTATTTGTAGTATTTATTTAAATGGAAATATAATTTAGAGACGGTTGAATCTGAGTGAATAAAAATCTGATAATATTGGTCCACCTAAAAGATAAAAATTTAAGGATGAGGTAATGCATGATAACAATGTTGTTGCTGGAGCTAATTGGTGATGCAAATGCTTTAATTTATTCCAATCATAATGTAAAGTTTCTATCAATTAGATGACCAAATTATCAAGATCGTCACTATGTATATAACATGCCTCAAAGTCATACTTCATAATCATCAGCCATGCCCACTGATTTAAGTTCACATTTTCTTTTTGGAATTTTTTATATGTTAATTATTGAGTCAAAAAAAGAGAAAAGAGCACCTACTTCTAATTAATAAGTGATTGCTATATTTTATTCAACGACAATAAATAGTGCTTGAAATTCAACAATTTGTTGCTTTAAGAGTTAGCTTTGTCATGGGGGATTTGTCAAAAGCATGGGGGAGAACGACTTATACATACCTAATGTTTGTCAAAACGACAAGTTGATACCTAAAAGGTTTTGAAACGACAAATGGATACCTTCCGTCATGTTCTGTTAGTGATTTTCGTTAGATAATAGTGAAAAGACTAAAATGCCCTTGAAAGTTTAATTTTTAGTTTTTTATAAATTTAAAAATTTCTAAAAAACCTCATAGGTTTACTAATTTGACTAAATACCCCAATATATAAAAATTTTATAAAATAACAAAAACACCCCCGCCACCCCCGCAGTGCCAGATTCCGGCCACCACCGCTGGAATCTGGCCGGAAAATTGTGTTACGACACAGACCCGTCGGATCTGTGTCGTAACACACCGATCTGGCCTTTTCCGGCCAGATCTGCCTCGGATCTGGCCGGAAAAGGCCAGATCTATGTCTGGCCTTTTTCGGCGTCTACGGCCAGATCTGGGGTTTTCCGGCCAGATCATCCACGGATCTGGCCGGAAAACGCCAGATCGACGTGTTACGACACAGATCCGATGGGTCTGTGTCGTAACACAATTTTTCGGCAAGTTTCCGGTCTCGACGGCCAGATTTGGCCGTAGATCTGGTCTTTTCCGGCCAGATCAGCCACGGATCTTACCGGAAAATGAAAGATCTACGCGTTACGACACAGATCCGATGGGTCTGTGTCGTAACGCAATTTTCCGGCCAGATTCTGGCGGTGGTGGCCAGAATCTGGCACTGCGGGGGTGTTTTTGTTATTTTATAAAATTTTTATATATTGGGGTGTTTAGTCAAATTAGCAAACCTAGGGGGTTTTTTAGAAATTTTTAAATTTATAAAAAACTAAAAATTAAACTTTCAAGGGTATTTTAGTCTTTTCACTATTATCTAACCAAAATCACTAACAGAACATAACGGAAGGTATCTATTTGTCGTTTCAAAACCTTTTAGATACCAACTTATCGTTTCAACAAACATTGGGTATGCATCAATCGTTCGGCCAAAGCATGGATGATACTTGTTCAAAGAAATTCAAGTAGCTACTGTTATAACATGTGGTATGATGAAATTAGGTAATAATTTGAGACCTAATTTTGTCAATCAACGTCTAATCAATTAATTCTGTCTTTGAATAATGAAGGTGGAAGTGCGACTCAAATTTAATTCTTCTTATGGTTTAGTTTTGGAACAGACGATAATTCTCCTTTTATCTCATGGAAGAAGCAATAATTTATACTAGATTTTCACCTGTTTCTTTCTTCTTGCCAATGTTGTGCTACCATGTGTCTTTATTATCTAACTGGTTTGACAATTTCTCGCTACAGGAACAGGATGATGCTTGATCTTTGAGCCTGTCCCATGCTCAAATTAGCAAAATCAATATTCACAATATTTTAGATTTCTTATTTTTTTTTAATATAAAACTATTTGATTTTATAATTTGTTGAAGGTAAAATAATATTGAATCTAATTGTAAAATGCATCAACATTTTTGGATTAAAATACATATGAAGTTAGTAGCTTTACAACCAAAATTTCCCCATTTTTTGAAAGTAGAGCTTCAGACTTTGAAAGTCAATGGGCAAGGATCCTATTCCTGTCCCAGCAATCTCTTTCAGTGGACTAACCTTCATGCTTTTAAGACTTTTCTGAACTCTTTATTATGCGTTCACATTGACTAGCCACTGAGAGTGTGAGTATTTTTTTTCTACTTATTTATTTATAAATATATTATTTGTCCCCACCGTCATTTTAACTTATTTTATTTTTTTAAATACTGGCTGAATTTCATAACATTTAATTTCTACATTATTTATTTATGTATATATTCTGTTTTGATTTTAAAAATTAAAATGGAATTAGATTACTGGATGTTCTGGAAACATTCTCAGAACATATTCTGTTGAAAGAGCGTGAGAGATTGAAGATTAAGTTACATTTTGTCTTGTAAAATACGCTTAATCTGATTCCCATGGCGCAGAAGTAGAAGCAGAAAAAGAAGATGGCCTAACAATGCTTGCTCAACTAACTCACTCACCAACTTCCTAAATAATAGCTTTGCAATTAAAATTTATAAGATTATAATTTAAAGAATATAGAACAAAAATAGACTCAAACATCAAGAAGTTCTTTCTTTACTGACAATTATTGACTGCATATTATTTTAATACTACATGTTTGAATTACTTTAATCCAACATTTCCCCCATTCACTAGACCCCACTCCTTCTCTCTCTCTTCACAATTCTCACGCTTCTTCAAATCCCACAACTCAACAAACACCCTCTCCATCGGAACACAACACTGAATCGAAAATGCTTCTCTTCTTCCTCTCTCTCTTCCTCTCTTCCTCACCTCTTCTCACTCTTTCCTTAAACCAAGAAGGCCTCTACCTACAGCGAGCCAAACAAGGTCTCTCTGTTCCTAATAACTTTCTCTCCTCGTGGGACAACAGCCGTGATGACACTCCATGCCACTGGCACGGCATCACTTGCGACTCCGCTAACCGTGTCATTTCTATCGACCTTTCCCAGTCACAACTCTCCGGGCCTTTCCCTCTCTTCTTTTGCCGGCTTCAGTACCTTACCTCCCTCTCTCTTCACGACAACTTCATCAACTCTACACTGCCGGACCAAGTTTCCACGTGTCAGAGTCTTACGGTGTTGAATTTGAGCTCGAATTGGATCGTTGGTAAGTTTCCTGACACTCTATCGCAGTTGAAGAATCTTAAGCATTTGGACTTGAGTGCCAATAACTTCTCTGGAGGTATTCCGCCGAGTTTCGGTCATTTCGCTAGCCTCGAGACGCTCTACCTTATGGCCAATCTTTTAGATGGGACAATATCCGGGGCGCTTGGTAACATTTCTACTCTTAAAGAGCTTCTCCTCGCTTTTAACCCGTTTTCACCGGGTCCGATACCGAGTGAATTGGGTAACTTGACGAACCTTGAATATCTTTGGCTCTCTGACTGTAACCGGGTGGGTCCTATTCCAGAGAGCTTAACTCGGTTGCCTAAGCTTAATACTTTAGACTTGTCGTTGAACAGGCTCACTGGGCCAATCCCGAGTTCGATAACCGAGTTAAGAAGTATAGAACAGATAGAGTTGTATAACAACTCTTTATCGGGTGAATTACCGGTTAAATGGCGTAATACGACGACGTTGCTGAGATTAGACGCGTCGACGAATGAGTTGACCGGGACGATTCCGCCGGAGTTGTGCGAATTACAGCTGGAGTCACTCAACTTGTTTGAGAACAGATTGGAGGGTACTTTGCCAGAGATCATAAGCGGGTCGATAAATTTGAAGGAACTCAAATTGTTCAACAACAAACTCAGTGGTCACTTGCCCAGTCAACTCGGGACGAACTCGGCATTACAGGTGCTAGACGTTTCGTACAATCAGTTTTCTGGTGAAATCCCCGAGGGTTTGTGTTCAAACGGGTCATTAGAGGATCTGGTATTAATATACAATTCATTTTCCGGGCAAATCCCAGAAAGTCTTGGGAAGTGCCAGAGCTTAAGGAGGGTTCGGTTAAAGCACAATTTGTTGTCAGGTACAGTTCCTGAGAAGTTCTGGGGTTTACCACATGTTTCTTTGTTCGAGCTTGTGGATAATTCATTCACTGGCCAAATATCAAAATTAGTTTCAGGTGCATATAATCTTTCTGTTCTTTTGGTTTCCAAGAATCAGTTTTCTGGGCCCATCCCAGATGAAGTTGGGTCATTAGATAAATTAGTTGAATTTTCTGCTTCTGATAATAAGTTTACGGGTCGAATTCCTGGTAGTCTAGTGCATTTAGGTCAGTTGGGGAGGCTTGATCTGAGTGGAAATGAACTTTCGGGTGGGATCCCAGAAAAAATTCAAGGTTGGAGGAATCTGTATGACCTAAATTTGGCTGATAATAAGCTGTCTGGTGAAATTCCGGCTGAAATTGGGAGCTTGCCAGTGCTCAATTATCTTGATCTTTCTTGGAATTCCTTTTCGGGAAAAATCCCACTGGAATTGCAAAATTTGAAGCTGAATTCGTTTAATTTGTCAGATAACCAGCTCTCTGGTGAGATACCCCCTCTTTATGCTAAGGAAATTTTTAAGAATAGCTTTGTGGGGAATCCTGGTTTGTGTGGGGACTTGGCTGGTCTGTGTCCTGACATGGACAGATCTAAGAACCAGGGTTATCTGTGGATTCTGCGGTCAATCTTTATACTTGCAGCTGTAGTTTTTGTTGTTGGGATTGTTTGGTTCTATGTTAAATACAGGAATTTCAGGAAGACTAAGAGAAGAATTGCTTTAACGAAGTGGAAATCTTTCCATAAAATTGGTTTCAGTGAATTTGAGATCATTGGATGTCTTAAAGAGGAAAACTTGATCGGAAGTGGGGCTTCTGGGAGAGTTTACAAAGTTGTGCTCAATAGTGGTGAAGCAGTGGCAGTGAAAAAGCTGTTTGGAAGACCCAATAGGGAAAATGCAAGTAATGGGTCACAGAGAGATGAATTTGAAGTAGAAGTTGAAACATTGGGGAAGATTCGGCACAAGAATATTGTGAGATTGTGGTGCTGTTGCAACAGTGGAGTTAGCAAGCTTCTGGTTTATGAATACATGCCAAATGGGAGCTTGGGGGATTTTTTGCATAGCAGCAAGGCAGGTTTGTTGGATTGGCCAACAAGGTATAAGATAGCTTTAGATGCAGCTGAGGGATTGTCTTATTTGCATCATGATTGTGTTCCTCCAATTGTTCATCGAGATGTGAAATCCAACAATATATTGTTGGATGGAGAGTTTAATGCTAGAGTTGCAGATTTTGGAGTTGCTAAAGTTGTTGAAAGAGTTAGCAAGGGGCAAGAGTCCATGTCTGGGATTGCAGGTTCTTGCGGTTACATTGCACCAGGTATAATAGCAAACTTCTTTAATTTATTGTCCATTATTGTTGTATTCAATTAACTCTGTTGACTTCTCGATTTTATTTTTTTAAAGGCTTACATACTGTATTTATATCAACATGTAAATATGTTCATTCAGTTCTCATCATTTTATTTTTGCACCAATAGTTGGTTTCCTACTTACAAATAATAATTAAAGCTAAGTTTACCAAAAAGTGAGGATAATGAGGGAATAAGTTTAGTCCAATACCTACAGCTACATGGTTTGATCAATCTGGCAAAACTTATGTTTGCTAGAACTAGTAGTTTGATTTCATGAAAGGGCATGTTTGGCCTATTATTGTAGTTGACGTTATGATCATTCTCTTTTAGTACATTCTTTTTAATAGCCATTCCTTACACATTATTTTTAGCTTACTTCTAACCGAGTGTGTTCTATTGTTTGTAAATTGATGCAGAATATGCCTATACTCTTCGAGTGAATGAAAAGAGTGACATATACAGTTTTGGAGTTGTTCTCTTGGAGTTGGTTACTGGTAGACTCCCAATTGATCCAGAATTTGGGGATAAAGATTTGGTAAAATGGGTCTGCACCACCTTGGACCAGAGAGATTTTGACAGTGTGATCGACTCCAAACTTGATTCTAGTCACAAGGAAGAAATGTGCAGGGTCCTGGAGGTCAGTCTCCTCTGCACCAATGCACTTCCTATTAACCGTCCTTCAATGCGAAAGGTGGTTAAGTTGTTGCAAGAGGCTAGTACTGAGAAGAAATTACAGACCAATAAGAAGGATGGGAAGCTCTCCCCTTATTATCATGAAGATGCCTCTGATCAATTTATAGTTTAAGAATATAGTCATGAATTCAACCGATTTTCAACACCTTAATGGTGTTTGATTGCGCAGGGTAGAGGGAATGAAGCAGTAGTGAGACAGATTTTCAACAGTGCCCTCTTGACTGGTGCATTAACTGTAAGCTAGATCATAGATTAAGACGTGGAAGATTGTCACTGTAGTCTGTGATTATTGTTGTTTGTTGTATTTTAGTTGGTGGTTAATTTCTTTTTGGTTAGGTAATGTTAACATGCAAACATGAGATTTGTCAACAATGACAAATCATAATTTCAGCAGAATAACTGTTTACACGATTGTAAAATAGGATCCAAAAGCTTTTTGAGTGTCTATTTTGAATGTTCCCTCCATTTTTCTACCATGTTTGCAACCACTCTTTTTATTTGAAAGGGTCCAAGTTCAGACTGAGTGGACAGCTTCTGACAATTGAATGAAAGAACAGATAATTGAATACAAGAGGTAGGCATTGGTCTTGGCCGTCCATTTATTGAATTGGGTCCTCTTGTCTTCTTTGATGGAGAGTGAGAGCTTTCATTCAGCCTAAAGAAAGTAATAGGTCACATTTCACATTAATTATACATGGGTCTTCTAGTAAAATCCTGTCGTATTATTATATTTATTCGAAAATGTATTATAATCTTAATAATCATTTTGTAAATGGAAAACAAATTAGGATAGACTAGTTAGATGTGCCTAACTTATTTTTTAATGAGAATGACAAGCGGGCTTTACAGAATGGGCCCAAGCCCAAGTTAAATGTGGATAAAAACTTTTTTTTTTATATTTTTTATAAGAACAATAACGGCTTCTCAATTTAAAGTCTGAGGGAAAGGGAATATGCTTGGATGGTAACCACTCTTGGGTGGTTGAGTGATTGAATAGAGATTTTTGGGGTATAATTCAAGAGGTTATAAATTCGATTCACTTCGGTTGCTAATATGAGTGATCATTGGAGGTTTACCGACTGTTATCTTCAGAGTTTGGGGATTAATTGAAGCATGTGTAAACTGGTCCGGGCAACCCGATCATCAAAAAGAAAAAAAAAAAAATAGCTTGGATGGTACGTAAGCCCTAGAAGATGATGATGAGGAAGTGGAACATTTGTGTTGCGTTTATATGGAAACAATCCAAGTTCCATCCATAATAATTGTTTAGTCTTGTTTCATAATTACTTCATTAAGATTTCAAAGTGTAATGAAACAACCAATCACCAATTTGAAAGTGAAATGGGACCAGAAATTAAGCATTTTCAATCGTCTGATCATGATGAGAACTGTACTTGATAATAGCAATTGAAATCTCTAGCAAAATTAAATGACAAACCAAATATAGACCATGTGGTGGTATTATTATATTGATGAATTTGAATGGTAGTAATTTCTCTTATGAATAGAGAATTAAAGAAAAGGTAATAATAAGATCTCTTATACTATGCGTTACTTCATTTAATTAAAATAAAAATAAAAATAAAAATAAAAATGAAAGAATGATAAGAGAATTAAATAGGATAAAAGATGTTAAATAAATGGATAGTGATAACAATAAATAACAAGTGGGGCTGCCATGGAACCTTAAGAGCAAGTTGAGAATTGAGGAAGGTGAGGTGGAAGTTGATTGGGTAGCTTGAAGGTTGTACCTTCACCCAAAGATTTATTCCAAAAAACAATTCTCTTAATCTTTGGAGGTGACAATGATGTATCGTATTTATGCTGTCTAACTACCTATTTTTTATTTTAAGCTTCAAAAGGAAATTCTACAACTGGAAAGGGTCCTCGACTCAACTCGCGAAACACGTTGGGATGAAGGGTACAAGATTAGAATCCATATACGATATTCAACCATTTACGTGCATCATGTTTGCTATCTCAAAACTTTCTGAAACCAATTCTTAAATATATCCTGCATGTCATCAAATTTTTGTCTTTTTGTTATCAATATATCATTTAAAGAATGGCTATAGAATTAGAAAGTGCAAATACTTAATCAGCTTAATTCTTTGAATATATCTCGTTCTATCATTCCCATGTTGAATATTAAATTTTTGGATAATGTTAATGCGTATATGTCTTCACCAACTGTATTTACATAGATTATGATTTAAGTAATAATATCATGTATCTCAATTTATATTTTAAGTGATGTGACACGTACTAATCTTAAATTGCAATGTTAAAACTCAAACTTCAAAAGCATAAATGGATAACTTAATAACTAATGTACATCATATAAAATATATATTTCTCTCGTGCTGAATAATTAAAATTTTTTATTTATCTGTAACCTTAATTAAGAAAATAATTACCCTTTTGATTTTCTATGTACACTGAAGCTACGTGTTGATTTTGAGTAGATTTAATATGCAGTATGTAATGACACATGGCATATGATTGAAGAAGATGAGAGAAGTAGTGTCAAAATTAATGAAAGAAAATTAATAGGAAGAGTGAGATTCAGGTGGAATGTCATCCTAGAGTGTGAATAAAGCTATAATATTTGGATGTAGAATATATATATATATATATAATGATAAAGAAGAAATGACTAATATTAACAGTCATAATTCTATTTCTTCACGTAGACTTCTCATGTAAAGCAAGAAACCTCTCTCTTTCTCATTCTCAGGTGAAACACCTCTTCCTCTTAAATCAGATTGCCCCTACTCCACTCAACCCCCACCCTTCCTTATATTTATTTTATTATTCTACTCTTTGAACCGGTCTTAACAAATCAAAGTTGCCTTTTGGCTGAGTAAAAAAGACACAAAAACTACATTTATTCTCCTACAAGTTTTCATACACAAATGTAAGCAAAATCCAAACGTAAGATCCAAGCAAACCTTTTTTTTTCCCCTTCTCTTTCTTTAATTAGTTCTAACTATATCACTCAAAATTTTAGAATCTATGTTTATTTTTTAGGTAGCTACGTAAAAAGGGAAGGGCAATTTTATTTAATTTCCTCAGTATACCCTGAAGAAGATAGAGAAGAGCTGGCTTGAGGGGGAACAAGGCTTTGGAAGAGACAAGTTGCTTTTTCTTCTTTTCCTTTTTGTTATCACCTTATCTCTCTCTCTGTCTCTTATATTGTTGCATTGTTTATTTTGGAGTACTAGCGGCACGGGGGGAAGGAAGAAAATAAGAAAGATCAGTTGTGTAATGGGCATAAGAGAAAACCAAAGGAAATGACTTGGTGTAATGACTGCAGTGATGTGCAAACTATTGAGAGAAGCTCGTCGCCATCAACTACTAATAATATTACTGCCAAAGCCAAAGACTGTCTGGTTAGATCTTGTCCTTCATGTGGTCATCAGATTAAATGTAATGAGCAGGTGTGTGTTTAATACTTCTTTCTGATCATTAAGATATATATATTATTATTATTATTATTATTTTATGTGATGTTTTGATTTGTTTTATTATAGGCGAGAATTCATGATTTGCCTGGACTACCAGCTGGGGTGAAGTTTGATCCGACGGATCAAGAGCTTCTTGAACATCTGGAGGGGAAGGTTCGATCTGATGCTCGTAAGCTTCACCCACTTATCGATGAGTTCATCCCTACACTTGAAGGCGAGAACGGAATATGCTATACCCACCCTGAAAAGTTGCCAGGTAAATTAATTAAGTTGCAAGGATCGATCAAACCTACAGTTTTCTGTTTCTGGTAAAAGGGTTGTGTGTTGTAAGTTGAATCAGAAAAGCATAGTGACTGATGGGTTATCATTAGGTTTTAGATCTAATGACGTTTAAACGAACATTTAAGGGTTGGTTTCATTAGTGAGTTGACCTAAGTATCTAAATCATTGTGTTGCAGCTGCAAATGTTTAATACAGTCGCACAAATTTAACCACCGCCAAAAGACGTAATCTAATAAAGATTTCTCTTCCACTAGTCTTACATAAAAGGAAAATATTAGATTGCCTACTATTGTAGTTAATCATTTTGATCCAAAACTATAGATTCTCCCAAAGAAAATGTCATTCCCTGAGAGGAACACTCAAATATATCTTGCACTGTTTCTTGAGGTCCAAATGCATAAGTTAGTGTACTAATTATAAGCAATTTTTATCCCCTTGGCTCTCTGTAAGAGAATGTGATCGATTTCATTGTATGGTTAATTCACCCTTCTCCTCTTTTGAAGAAACCTTTCAACAAACCATATGTAGCGTCTACAATCAGATACGAATAAATAGTCACCTACTTCCGGTAGGAATGTCATTACCAATGAAGAAACCCCTCAACTAACCTGTACAAATTCTTAGTACCATGTCCATTACAGAAACGGCTGCTGTTTTAAACTTTGCTTCAACACGATATACTTTTATTCTTTAAAAAAATCTNTTTATGTGATGTTTTGATTTGTTTTATTATAGGCGAGAATTCATGATTTGCCTGGACTACCAGCTGGGGTGAAGTTTGATCCGACGGATCAAGAGCTTCTTGAGCATCTGGAAGGGAAGGTTCGATCTGATGCTCGTAAGCTTCACCCACTTATCGATGAGTTCATCCCTACACTTGAAGGCGAGAACGGAATATGCTATACCCACCCTGAAAAGTTGCCAGGTAAATTAATTAAGTTGCAAGGATCGATCAAACCTACAGTTTTCTGTTTCTGGTAAAAGGGTTGTGCGTTGTAAGTTGAATCAGAAAAGCATAGTGACTGATGGGTTATCATTAGGTTTTAGATCTAATGACGTTTAAACGAACATTTAAGGGTTGGTTTCATTAGTGAGTTGACCTAAGTATCTAAATCATTGTGTTGCAGCTGCAAATGTTTAATACAGTCGCACAAATTTAACCACCGCCAAAAGACGTAATCTAATAAAGATTTCTCTTCCACTAGTCTTACATAAAAGGAAAATATTAGATTGCCTACTATTGTAGTTAATCATTTTGATCCAAAACTATAGATTCTCCCAAAGAAAATGTCATTCCCTGAGAGGAACACTCAAATATATCTTGCACTGTTTCTTGAGGTCCAAATGCATAAGTTAGTGTACTAATTATAAGCAATTTTTATCCCCTTGGCTCTCTGTAAGAGAATGTGATCGATTTCATTGTATGGTTAATTCACCCTTCTCCTCTTTTGAAGAAACCTTTCAACTAACCATATGTAGCGTCTACAATCAGATACGAATAAATAGTCACCTACTTCCGGTAGGAATGTCATTACCAATGAAGAAACCCCTCAACTAACCTGTACAAATTCTTAGTACCATGTCCATTACAGAAACGGCTGCTGTTTTAAACTTTGCTTCAACACGATATACTTTTATTCTTTAAAAAAAAAAAAAAATCTAAACGATATTGTTAACTGTTAAATAAACTTTTTTTCCTTCTTTTTTGTTTTGGTCGTATGCATGCAGGAGTCAGCACAGATGGATTAGTTCGTCACTTCTTTCATCGACCTTCGAAAGCATACACAACAGGAACCAGAAAAAGAAGAAAGGTGCACACAGACACGGAGGGTGGTGAGACCCGGTGGCACAAAACTGGCAAGACCAGGCCGGTCTTTGTTAGTGGGAAGGTGAAAGGTTACAAGAAAATTCTTGTGCTCTACACCAATTACGGAAAACAGAAAAAGCCTGAGAAAACCAATTGGGTGATGCACCAGTACCACCTCGGCAACAACGAAGAAGAGAAAGATGGAGAGATCGTGGTTTCAAAAGTTTTCTACCAAACACAGCCGAGACAATGTGGTTCACTCATGAAGGACGCTCTCCCTCCAAAACTAATGAAGGGACAAAGCGGCCATGAGGGTCTTAAAAATAATCCAGGTCTGGAGACGTATTACAATCCTGCATTCATATCTTTTGATCAAGGTGGTCAAAATAGAGCGAGCCCTCCTCAATTAATTCCCCATTTCGCATCCCATGATGGTTCTTCGTTTATTCCTTGAAAAGAGAGAATAAAGAAGATAAAAATAAATAAGGGAGGTATAGGGAAGAAAAGGAGAAAAAGCAAGTAAAATGGAGGGTGGAGATTGCGGTTCCAATGATTGTGCAATGGTGGGAATAAGTTAATATACAAATAATACTTTAGGAAAGGGCACAAGGGACGGGAGGCATAAGGAAAGATTTAATTACTTAAAAGAGTAGTAGAAGTCGGATTCTTCTTTGAGGAATTTGAAGATTTCGCCTTAACACTTTCTTTAATTTTTTGGGTTTTAAATGCATGCTTTGTACAGTGTCAAGAATGTAAATTTTAAATGTATGGGTCATGAAGTGGCAATGACAATGTTAACTTTCAAACTGCACAAAGACATTCTTATCATGATATACAGTAGGATTTCCTTTAATCTCTTTATTTCTTTTTCTGTACCATCCTGCATGTGACATCAAATGAGTTCAATTAGATATCTTTTTTATTTTCAAAAAGAAAAAAGTTTAATCTAGTAAGGCACGTGATAAAAAAATGCTGATATGGTAAATAAATTAAAAAGATCATTTTAGATTCTTAGTTTAGACTTTAGAATTAGCTAGAGGATTAATATTAGAATTCAATATGATTGTTTATTTATTTTCTTAAGCTTTGTTTTAATTTATCAAATATAATAACAAAAAATGTTTTCCCTTTATTGATATGATTTGATATATTGTTTTATGTAAATATCAACGTTTGCTTGCTCTTACAAAGTGAGTTATTTACGCGTTAGGCTTGTTTTTACTTAGCAATTCTAGCTGAAAAATTATTATCAGGTCCATAATAGTTTAAAGTTTTTAAACTATTTGCCTATAGTGAAAGAAGAATATTTACTAATTGATCATTAAAATCCAAGCAAGGTGAAAGCTATAAGGAATAGGAGCTATGAACTCACAGTCGCCGATCAAAGTTAATGGAACCTAAAAGTTTTGTGTTCGAATCACAAGAGAGGTAATTATCGAATTTACCAAAAAAAAAAAAAAAAACAAATGTTAAACTTTTGTCATCCCTCAAGTTGAATTGTTATAAGAAGACTAAAGTGCAAATGCAATAAAAGGAGATCACTATTATTATTTGTTTGGATCAATGTTATGCATCTCCTCTAATTAACTACAGTCGAACACAAAACAAAGTAACAAAAGCTCAATGCTAATTACCCAAAAACAAAATTTTTCTCATTTGAACATCAAAATTGTTTAACAAATAAAGCCTGTTGGAAGCATATTCCTTTTCTATACGCTTACGCATAGGCGGAAGGGAGCTAAAAATGGGCCAAACTAATTAGCCAGTTACCATTCGAAGGGTGGGTTTGTTTAGTTCAAAATGAACTCTAGCCCTGACAAGAATGGCCAGCTGCCCAGTTCTCCATTGAAGAAGAAGAATATACCATATTCTAATTCTATCAACTTGTGCCTCGTTTTCTTGTTAAATGTGGTTTTAATAGGTTTAATTTAGAATTTCCCCATATGAGTCTTGTTTTGAAAAAGACAACAGGTGCACTATATGCATCTGTCTACTCGTCCATGGTATAATGTTTTTTATTTTCTCTTGTTTGAGACCTGGAAAGAGTGGGAAGTGGCAGGGACAAAGCTGGTTGATTTTTATACTGACTGTACAAAACATGGATTATCATCATGTTTCGGATCAAGTAGCCTTGAGTGATTTTTTAGTTGATATTATTTTGTCATAATGTTTTCAGTTTATAGCCATCCACAGGTGGAACTAATCTGACAAGACAAATATCAGCTATATACATTTGATGCCTTTCAGATTGACACATTCATAAGGAAGCTGCCAAATTGAGGTGTTTCCTATAAGCATATCACATGGTCTCCGATTATGAATAATATAAAATGACTACCGTAATTATAGAACAACTAATCTCAAACGCAAGCAGTTGGAACGTAACCATCTTTCCATTAATTAGAGGACCCATTATCGGCTCTCGGGTTTGACCCTCTGGGGTCCCTTGCATCTGTGGGCTCTAACTCTCATTAGCGTCAAGCACTAATGACTTATCCAAGCAATCTACTTAATTGTATCTCTCTCTTCACTCAAATCTACTTGAAATAGAGATCTATAAGAGTACCAGTTTCAAACTCTCCCCGTAGTTGACAATGTTGTATAGGAAGTTTCATTCTTGAGCTCCACCTGCAAACACCCAGTGACCCAGAAATGGATTTTCAGTTCAGCTCAAATGAAAACCGACCGCTAATGAAACCAAACAGAAAAAGGCTCACCCAGGACCAGATCAGGCTCTTGGAGACAAGCTTCAATTCTAACCGGAAGCTCCAAGTAGACTGCAAACTCGAGCTTGCCCGCAGACTAGGCCTGCTGCCTAGACAGGTAACAATTTGGTACCAAAATAGACGAGCACGTGAGAAAATCCATACCATAGAGCTCGACCACAAGACCATCCAGCTAGAACTAGACAGTGTGTTGTTAGAAAATAGAAGGCTTGAACAAGAAGTCTGCATGCTGAAACATGAGCTGAACAAGGTTCAACAGATGCTATCTGTAGCTAACCCATCTATCACTCTTCTGCCTTCGTCAACATCTCAGACCAACTCAAGCTCCCCTGACAACATGATTTACAGTTGGGAAAATTCAGGAGTGTTGCCATTAGAGGAGCTATATTCTTGCCCAATTAGCCGTGAAGGCCAGCCAGAGAAACAGGGCAGAATTGATCTTTCAGTCCATTCTGTAAGATTTTGATGTATAAAATTATACATAATTAATTGTACTCGAAGTTATTTGAAGTTTTTTTAACCGGAGTAGCTCTAGGCATTCATATGTGCAGATAGTTTCATTCAGCATATACTCTCAGAAACTTGCATATGATAACCACAAAGACAATATTTGTTTCATAGAATTCAATTACGAGTTTATGGTTCATATTTGATCGATATTATTTTTACCTCAAACAATTGAGACTAAGATGGAATTCCCACAACACAAGCACAGAGACTAAAGGCATTCAAGCTGGTGTTTTAATTCTCAAACATATCTTGATTGATATGAGATTTAAAATTATACCACAAACGATAGAGACTAAGATGGAATTTTCACAACATAGAGACTGGAGGCATTTAAGCTGGTTTTTTCAAATCACAGCATCTATAGACAATTTTGAACTAGCTCCAATATCCATCAACCAATGTGAGGAAATGCATGAACTTGTCAAATTTGATGGCCCATTTCCAAGTCTAAAAACATATAAAAAGTTAGCCGGTTCAAAAGGTCCATCATGTTTGGTTGTCTGCAGCCGAAAAAGGACCCACTTAATTACTTTCTTCTTGCTTAAGCACTTGGCTAGACACAACGTTAAGTTCGATCAGATTAATCAGCAATTAAAAACTTCTCTTACCTGACTCAACTTTCCCAAGTTGAGTTGAGAAATAAAGTCGTATTACTAATTAAAGCAAAATTGAGAAAGCTCATCAATTGGACATACTTTACTTCTGACATGGTTGCAGCAAGAATCATGATGACCCACATTTGATTTAACCTGCCTTGTATTCACTAAATTTCATTAATATTTGTCTCCTAAACCAAAATTTTTTTGCTACTATTTTTTATCTGGTCAAAACATTTGGTGATATATTATACGTACATACAAACAAAACAACAAATATTAGATGTTGCATTGAAAGTTTCAATATATTTTGACAGGAATGTAGCAAACACCCTTTGTTTTAAACAATCCATTCAAAGTAAAACATTAAGCAGAGAGAATGGCAGAATCTCAAAAACAAAGGCAAAGCAGGGAAAATTACTAAAATGCTACATATATAAATAGAACATTTTTTAAACCACAAACAATAATCTTTCAGCATGTGACATAAACTATTGAGAAATGCATATATGCACAGCAAAGAAATGTATCAACTAACAGCATATGTTCCCAAAAACAGTATGGACTGGATTCAGGACAGGTGTAAGCAATTTCAATTAAGTCTGACCATTAGATCAAGCTTCAGGATGATGCAAACCTAACAGGAGATCAGCTAGTCAGATTTAAGTTTTGGCGTTTATAGACTTGGCCAAGAATGAGTTTAACAATCAACTTCACTACATGGAACTACAAAAGCCTAGAAAATGTTATATGAACAATATGTAAAGAGAATGAGTCATATTCAGAACTTTCTTTTGCACTAGATTGTAGCAGGATTTGCGGAAGTAAAAACCATAAACTTAAAAGAGAAAATATACCAAGAAAATAATTGAATTGGGGGAAGACCAGCCGATGTTCCTTGGACCATTTCTATGGCATTTACTTCTCTGCTAGGCTTTAACAAGAATCAAAGCACTAATTCTAGGTAGGGAATTATCATCTAGGACACATCCAAGAAAACAATTGAAATTGTGCGAAAACAATGTTACTTAGGGAAATACTATCCTTTGCACAACTCTGACAACATGTCCTGGAAAGTCATGTACTACTTCTTCCATGATGAGAAGCCGACAACTGCTGAATAAGTCAGCATTGAGTTTACCTCCTTAAAATATAATTACATTTGCACGAGTATTTCAACACCCTATCCCTCCATACCTTCAGAAGCCTGTTTTGGAAGAATCAATTTCTTCTTCTTTCCTCCTAGATTATTTTAGTGCTAACCATAGTCTATCTAGTACAAACAAGAACCATAAATTCATGAAATATACAGCTAAAGCAGGATCGCATATAATCATTTACGATTATTGATTAACTCTAAACAGTAAAACTTGAAACATTCTATTAATTTCAACCAAAACTCTATACCATAACAAATTAACAAGTAAACAAACTACTTCCATAATACAGTATTTAAAAAAAAAAAAAAAAGAAAAAAAAAACTCTTCAATCACCACAACACAACAGTGACACATATACTTTAACAAGTAAACCATAATGAATCCATAGTTTACAATATAATCCAGCCGGACACATCTAACATTGCCAAGATATGTATTTTATTCTATATTACTCAGTAAAATGAAAATTGAAATACAGTTACCAAAATTTACTCTACATTCTCCTTCTTCTTCTTCTTGAAGATATAAACATCAGTCTCCTCATAACCATAATCAGGATGCAAATCTTCATGAGGCACCTTTTCAATCTCAAAAACTTTCTCAGACATTTCCCAGAACAACTTGTGGGCCTCTGGTGACCTTAACTGATACCCCAACAACACCACACCGTCGTCAGCCACGAGAGCCTCCATGGCCCGCACAAGCTGGCCCACAGACTCCTCTATGTAAACCACATCAGCCGCGATCACCACATCAAACGGTGGATTCAGGGCTTTAATTTGATCTTGGTTGTTCCAGTAAAAGACCGAGGTCTTTAGGGCTTTGTTCAGAACAGGTTTGTTGCGTTTCAGGTTGCGTTTGAGTGCGGGCATGACCGGGGAAATGTCAGTGAGGATGATGTCGGTGAGTCCAAGGAGGTAAAATGCCATGCCAGCGGCTCCGCATCCGGCGCCGAGCTCGACAGCGCGGCGGCGCGTGTTGTGAAAATCAAGGAGACGGGAGTAGGGGTTGCTGTCCGATGGTTGAGTGGTGGGTCGGGGTGGGGCCCATCGCTCAACGAACTTGGCGAGGACCAAAGAGCAGGGCCACACGGAGGTTCCCACGTGCATGGAACCGTTGTCTTGTTGGATGGAGAGGAGAGCATCGCGAACTGGGAGTTCAATTACCGGTGAGTCTGTGAATTTCATGCTTTCTCTCTACAAATCTGTCGCTCTCGCAGTGTATCTCGGTCTGTGAGGTTTAGTAGTGGGTTTTTGTTTCTCGAATTTGGCTTGGGCCTTGGGCCGTGTAGGCCTTCAGCCCTGGGTTTGGATTGGGTTTATATGATTCTGATTACATGTATGGACCTAAAGGATTTTAAGTTATTTAGCAAATGGGGTTGCTCGGGGCGTTTAACAGTGTGTTGTGTTGTTGGGTGGTTTCAGTATTCTGAATTTCTGATTTGGCATTGTGAAAAGGAAATTACAGATCATCTTATCTGTGAGTTATAATCAATTTTAATTTCCTTCTCATGTGGGTATTAACTTCTACGTCTTTGTAATGCTCAATGTTCTGGCACATCCAAACATCACTTTGATTGGCGAAAGGTCATTTTTTATAATTTCAATATCTTGCTTTGATAAACACAGCATTAATTAAGTGATGCTTTCGGTACGTAGCAGGTAATATATTGGAAGACCATTTATATCAATTAAAGTTGGTCAGAAGTTGATGTTGTGAATAAATTAGGAGACTTTATGCTTGCTGTTGATCTTCAACAAGAAGAAATTTCCAAAACCCCACAACACATAACTTTAGTGCAAGTTGGAGAGAAAGATGTAGCATATCCAAACGAGATATGGTTTATTCTAATTCCTAATTTATCAGCATTAAATTGTCTCAGTTCAATTAAAACAAATCTATAAAGAGGGTCAACAGGGTACATGAAGATTAAATTATTGACTTTTAGGTGGAACAGATGAAGCCAGAAAATAAAACCCTCTTTTATTTCTCTATACAGGTTTTTTCTTTTGCTTATTGAGGACCCCATTTTCCATCTGTTTTCAGCACCGGCCTCAAAGCCAGACATCAAATGCAATGACAACGATAAGCTAGACTTGATTACGTTCTTTCATCTTTTCTCTTCAATAAGATTTGAGATTTGTGGGTCGGTTTTCTTTTTTTACTTTCTACTCCATGTTGACAAATTTGTGATGATAAGAACCTGTCATATATAACTTGTTTCATACAGCAAGCAAACCTCTTACTCATCCATCAAGTAGTACTAAAAGTGATGGAAAATCAAGACACCAATACAAAGAGTACTCCTTTCTCGATTTTGACGCTTTGGTCTTTTTCTTTTAATCTTTATTTTCCTTTTTCATGTCTGTACTATGTACTATACTCTTCTGGGAAATCTGCAGAGACACTGTGATTGTGAAGTGTTGCATGCAGGTCACCACGGTACATTCTTAAACCCATATACATACTCTAAATGCAAGTGGAAATGTACATTTAATAAAGGGTTTTCTCCTTTTGGTTAAGAGAATTTCATACTTGAATGTGAGTGGTTTTTTTTTCTGAATGTTCAATAATGGATTAAAAATTAAAACAAATCTCTACATGCCAGGAAATGCAGCACGTTAATGTATATAGATAGAACATTAAGCTACTGCTAATTAATGAATTTGATTCAATTGAAGGAAGTGTAAATATAGTTAATTAGGTGATATTAGTGGGATAATATTAGAGATTCAATGTGCTTAACGTTTTGCTTATAATGTGGCTAATTAACCTTGTTTGTATTACAAGTACTACACACACACACACACACACACACACACACACACACACACACATATATATATATATATATATATATGCTATTAATTAAGTAATGGAAAAAGCTATAGTTTATTTTAAACAACAGGGGTAAAGGTATTTGTACTAGAATCATCAAGCGTTTTGCAACTGGAAATAGTCTTTTAGATCCAGTTGGACAAGACAACATCCACAACACAGAGATACGAAAGATTGCAATAATGGAGCTCAAAAGGGGCTCTTACTTTGCCCCCACCACTTCACCCCCTTTTTATCAAAAATAAAAGCTTTAAAGGGAATAGCTTTCATGGTTCAACAGAATATGCATGGATGTTCCTCCTCAACCTCTTGGAATAGTTTTTCTGAGCACACAACTTTTAAGCACTCAATGCCTACCTTTTCCTCTCCCCGTGCAATGTATCAAATTAATAAATTCTCCCTCTTTCTTTCTCCCCAACTTCAACTCCACTTTATTACATCAACTTGCTTTCCATTGAGAAAATATGCAACTCACGAAATTTCCCATGTAATTTGATCACATTAATTAAATCCATCCATTGATGGATGATGGGTGACAACTGACAGCTTGCACGCCAACGCCCAAGAAGTCTCTGGTTTGTCCTCCGCTACTGTCATCACTCTGCAGGTGCCGGCGTTTGGCTGCCGGGTACATTTGCAGCTGATTCAAAGTTGTAATGTCACTCCCCGAGTTCTCCACATCGCTTCCGAGATTGTTGCCTATTGTGTTTGAATTTGAACCATACAATCCACAATATTTGTTTCCATCTTGAACTTGATTGTTGCTGCACTTCAACCCAAAATTCCCTAAGAACGAGGAATCTGTTGAAGTTGCACCAATTTGTGCAGCTTTTTGCAACAAAGCTGTGGCTGACATGTTAGCCGACGTTGCTTGATGCGAGAGTTGGGAACTAAACAGAGAAGGAACACTCACAAGCTGAGTTCCAGCTTCCTTAACATCGCTTAATGGGAGCGAAGTGCTCGATAGGGCTTCAGCATTATTTGGAGAGAGCTTATTTCCGAACACCCAATTTAATTGATAATCCGATGGTGGGGGATTTGAACAAGAAACAAGAGGATCTCCATACAGGGATCCTGAATTCACAAAACCAAGTTGATGAATTTCTTGGAGATTATTGCCTATTGTTTCATGGGCTTGAGATCCTTGACCCATCCATAGGGAGAGTCCTCGCCTTGTTTGATCCATTGTTTCGTCACTGCTTGAGATTGGCTTGAAAATAGAAGAGAAATGTTGCGCCATGGTTGGCCCTAGTGGAGTCCCCATAAGATGATAATTGAGACTACTGTTGGCCAAGTTGTTCATGTTAGATGCCGCAGTTACTCTTGCAGTTTCCTCAGCCAAGGCATCGCAGAATGCCCTGTGGGTGATAAAGCTATCCCGCCTGCTCAAACAGAATCCATAAATAATAACTCAGTATAAAGATGATGAATTATTAAGAGGGCCAACATAGAGAGAAGCACATGCAGAAGGACAAATTTGAAGAAAGTTCTGAACATAAATCAAGAGAAAGAAAAGCTTTTGTTTTAAACTTGAAAATACTTGACGGATTGTCCCAAGAAGTTCCTATACGTGAGGACTGTAAATAAGTAAATAACTATCTGATATATGTAATTGATCTAAGCTAATAATTGTGAATAAAAAAAAAAAAAAATCATAAATGGTGTTAATACTGTTAGCACAGCAAGTTCAAGGCACTAAATTCGAAAAAAAAAAAAAATCTTAAATGCAATGAGAAGATATTTCAGTATATGGAAATCAATTGATGTCTTTCTAAAAATTTAAAATTTAGCTATTTGTCTTTTACTATGACTTTTTATTTCCTTTCGCATAAAAAGCCATAGAGAGAGAAGAGGGGGCGGTGTTCTACACTATAGGCTATCACTCAGACAGAGATATCGCAACCACAAATATCAATTTCATTACTCTTCATTCTACTTTCATGATTTTCTTCTTTGAGGAGGTTGATTAGTACTGTTGCATGAAGATAGTGATATTCTTTATCCTTTATTATAACAGAGACAAAGCAACAACAACCACAAAAATCCTTTTCATGCCTCCTCAATTTCCTCTTTAAAGTATTACTAATTAGATAATATGTATCAAAAAAGAGAAAATTTCGTAAAACATTACCGCGAAAATATAGTTCCACAGTCACATTTGTATTCCTTAGTGCCACAGGTTTTCGAGTGCGCTTTCCAGTCGGATTGCACAGCGTATCGCTTTGAGCACTTCTCACACTTCCACTTCTTCTCTCCGTGTTTCCTACAAAAGTGCTTTTTAATACCTGTTAGGTCACCCAGAGCCCTAGAAGGGTGGTGATGGACACAAGTCTTTTCGGGACAAACATAAACGCGTTTTCTTGCTTCTTTGCTAGTCCTTTGCTTCAGCTTCCATGGAAGGTTATGTCCTCGTCGATGAAGCTGCAGATTCTGATCTCTTTGAAAACCCTTTCCGCATATTTCACATAAGAATCTGTTAGTAGCCATCAGAGTCTTCGGTGACAAGGCTATGACTTCAGCTTCAGGATCTGTTAAAAGATAATATAAACCCATTTGTCATATGGTATAGAATAGCCATTTGATAAACAAGATTAACTTTGGATATACTCATGATACCATAAGCAAGAATAAAAGAAAAAAAAAAAAAATAAGAGAGAGAAGCTTAAAGAAGAAGCAATTTTTGAAAGAATAACTTAAAAGAAGGCTTGCTTGCCTGGGGTTCCTGGAAGGTTTCTCTTCTTCTTTGCAGCAGGAGGATTTGATCCACCAACTGGGTTCTGAACAAAACCATTTGGAATTGGAATTGTTTCTTCAACCATCTTGTCTAACACCTCTTTTGAAAACTCTAGTTGTGGTTGGTTTGGTCAGAAAAAAGAAAAGCTCATCAAAAGGGTGTATTATGATTGTAATTAGAAAGAAAACCAAAGAGAATAGGTAATTTGTTATGGGGGTGTCTGAACCCTAAACAAACACAAGCTTATAAGCAAGGAATGGATCTTTCACTGCTTCCTTTCTCTCTCTCTCTCTCTCTCTCTAAAATGGTGCAGTCAATTAAATTACCTTTCTTTTAGGTGGAAAATAGAATACTAATATTTTTGTGGGAGGCGGTGAAAAGTTAAAGTTGTGAAGAAACAGTGAAGGGAGAGGGAGGTTGAAGAAAATCCCAAAGGTGCATGATGACACATATGATGAGGTCCTTAGAAAGCTAGTCTCCTTGCCTTTCCCATTTGGAATGATTATCCTATAATTTGTTGCTTTTTGTTTCCTTAATTTTTTAATCTGCTCCCTTCAATCAACCATATGTATTTAATTACTTTTTGTTTTTATTATTAAATTTAGATTTCAATAAATAAAAAAGATAAGCCTATGCCTATCACAATGCCTGACTAGGCCTTGTCTATTCTATATCATTTAAATTGTCTACTACTAACTGATTTGTCTTTGTTTTTAACCATCCAAGTCAAAATATCATCCCCCGCCAGACTCTAAACAAAATCAAACATATATGATAGTCTGTAAAGCTTTAAGTTCAAATTCAAAAGCTTTTACTCTTGTAATTTAAACGAAATTAAAGTTACTATTCATCAATTTCTTTATTTTAAAGTTTTTGAATATTATTGAAATATTGCATCCGACATTCTCGCTTGCAACGGCCATTGGAGATTGGACTATTAGGTGTTAAAATTATAGTCATAGTATTTATATGGCTTTACGTTGTATCTAAATTTTTAATATATGGCTCAATCAGAAAACCCTACAAGCTGAAACTGAGAGAAAAGGGCTTTTTATCTTTTACTTTATACGAAAACTACAACATATATTGGATGTGAAAGTTTTTTTTTTTGTACTGAATCACAAGTCATACCACAACACAAACCCTAACTTCACGTTTTGGATTGACCTTTCTACTGGCATATACATAAGTCTTCCTCAAGTCTTATGATGTTTTTTCTCTTTGGTGCTATCTAATTTCTAAAGCATAAGCGTGGACTGGCCTGGACTGATTTAACTCATCGAAAATAATTCACATATGTGTTTTGTTTTGTCAAAGAAGAATTAGCATGTCAGCTGAGTGAGTGTGACCCGCAAGAGATGCCTACTTACTTTTATCATCATTTTCCACAAAAGTAAAATTCTTTTCTCTTTGATCCTTTCGGTCAAAACGAAAGTTAAAGGCATTTCCTAAGAAGATTGATATCAATTTACATATCTCACCAACTCACTGGGGGTTGATTACTCTTTGACTAAATCATTCTTTTCTTTTATAATGGTTAAAATCAAACACGATTATTTAGTTCTTGATTATAACTTCGTTGTGCTACAAAATCTGCCATGCACGTGCCCATCTGTCAAACAAGGTAATCCCAAACGAAACGACGAAATATACACATAAAAGGGAATAATCGTCCGGATGACAGTATATGATTATGACCCATGGATCTTCCCACTGACATTGACTAGATTTTCTTACCCACTTGGTCTTTTGATCCTTTTTCTGTGTTTGATTTTATCAGTATTATTTGTTCTTGTTAATTATGCTGAAGAAATATGTAGAACATACATAAGATTTATTCATTAATAAAAAGTGGAAAGTTTCATGGGTTGGTCATTTTTTGAATGGTAGATGCATGATAACCTTTATACTTTTTTTAGAGATTCTTTATGCTTGCTTTTCTTTTGATAAGAACTCGGATTTTTACTTGATACTGTATATGTTTGAGATATATATGATCTATGAATCATCGTCAACATCATCATCCCATGTCAAATAATAATAATAATAATTATTATTATTTTAATGAAAGAAAGAATTCATCCTATTAACCTCGATCTAGAAATTCATGCAGGAATTTGAATTTTTTTATATTATATAAGAATGGAAGAACATGTACATGTACATGTAAGGAGGGAATCACTCTCTAGGGTTTGTTAATGAAGGGATAGATGTAAGATGCCACATGGTTTAATTCTTTAATAAAATGCCGTGATTTGAAATTTCGGATGCTTTTTTATTTTTAATCTCATATAATGGACTACTAATACTGAGTTTTGCAAGGTAGGGAACAGGTTAAAAGACAGAGAGCTGACAAAGGCAGTGAATTTTTGGAAGTGTGAGCAGTCGTCTACTTGTGGGCTGACTTTTCCTGCTAACCTTAATCATAATCTAATCATGTTTTTGCTTTCCAAATTTGTTTAGTGTATAATTTTGGAGTTTAGTTGTTGAACTGTGGCGGCACCAGAATATTCTCTCCTTCTCCAACACTCCTCAAAGGCTTCAACTTTCAAGGTCGACTTGAGAGATTCCATTACAAACCCCACAAGTTTAGTATTCCTCTCTCTCTCTCTCTCTCTGTCTTTGAGGTAAAAAATAAATTATAAATAAATTGGAAAACTCTATAACTAGGCAATTGATTTAGAAGGGGTTTGGGGAAAAGCAAAACGTTGTCACCAAGGGTATGTTTGTTTCTTTACTTGTCTTTTACCTTGAAAAATCAAGAGAAGACTGGTTAAAAAACCAGTTTGTTTANTGGAAGTGTGAGCAGTCGTCTACTTGTGGGCTGACTTTTCCTGCTAACCTTAATCATAATCTAATCATGTTTTTGCTTTCTAAATTTGTTTAGTGTATAATTTTGGAGTTTAGTTGTTGAACTGTGGCGGCATCAGAATATTCTCTCCTTCTTCAACACTCCTCAAAGGCTTCAACTTTCAAGGTCGACTTGAGAGATTCCATTACAAACCCCACAAGTTTAGTATTCCTCTCTCTCTCTCTCTCTCTGTCTTTGAGGTAAAAAATAAATTATAAATAAATTGGAAAACTCTATAACTAGGCAATTGATTTAGAAGGGGTTTGGGGAAAAGCAAAACGTTGTCACCAAGGGTATGTTTGTTTCTTTACTTGTCTTTTACCTTGAAAAATCAAGAGAAGACTGGTTAAAAAACCAGTTTGTTTATGCAGTTTAAACTTTAAACAAAAACCCTACAAGTATTTCCAAATTTCAAGGCGAAAACATGTCCATCTGCAGATAACTCCAACAACAACCTAGTCACACAGTCACAGTTCATCTTAGATATTACCATCTATGTTTACTCGAGAAAACAATTATATAGAATATATATGTCTTGTAGGTTCCGTAGCATCATCAGTTTGCATGAAAATCCAAGTGTTTTTTTATTTATTTAAACTTTAAAGCATATAATTGCATGGTTAATTTGATGTACAGAGGGCAGTTATGTCAAAGGAAAGAGTGAATTTTTAGGGAGATTAGTTTATATTGTTGAAAAATATCCTAAAAGCAGAGCAGATTTGGATCTAGGAATCCATTACAGAAACCACATGCCTTTGGTTATCAAAAGTTGGCGAATATATGCCTTTTCAAAAAACCAGCTCTTATCTTTATTTTTCTTTATTTTTCCTTTATTTCTTTATTATTTGCGATACACATGGCACAACCTAGAACGACTCTTTGCATTTAACCAACCTTTTGCTTCAACCATTAAAAGGTAGTAGTGCTTTGAATATTCTTCTGAATTTGGGTTTTGTTGCAATTGGAATTTTTATTATATTGGTCAGGTCTGTCTTTTGGTGAAAATAAATTATATGTATCTCACCAATAATATTTAATTAGATGTATATACTCCAGATCTCAATTATTGATTTGCATCTACTCTAACACCACCACAATGAAGTGACTTAATTGATTTTGTCAAGAAAAATATGTGACTGAATTCTGAATTATTCATCCTGAATAATTGTCATCACCTGAATTATTCTCTGGTCTCTCAAATTCAACTCTCAACTTGTAGCTTAGTGATCTCCAAGATCCTGTTTGATTTTTTTCGGAATCTTTAGTCATGTTCAATTCCAGAACTGACATCTTTAATTACTTAATAAAATGTACACCAAAATTCATATAATATAGGCTCTATAGTATTGTAGTTATCATATACACAGTAACATGAAATATATAATTCTTTTAAAATTTTACTATATACAATATTTGAGCCCCTTAAGCTTCTAAAGCCTGTCCATTGAGAGAATTGTGGATTTTAATTTACTGCTGGTTATTTCCCAGCGATTGTTTCCTTAAGAAATGGAGTCAATGTTTCAAAGATGGATCATAATTGAAAGAGTATTTGACCGGGGAAATTGGTAGTAAAGACAAAGGACTAAATGCATGGTGTTTATGTTTATTGTCTTGTGAATAAAAAGAAAAATTAATGGAGACAACTTCTTATCGATCTCCTCTATCGATATCAATGCAAAGCAACAAAACATTAACGATATCGAAGAAGACAAAATGGTTTTCATGAAATCAACCTTCTCATGCAAACATTATAAATAGACATAGATATATATCATATATCATATACAAGAAGAGATTAAAGTATGTATGTGTCACTTAGTGGACGATATTGGATTCCAGAAATTGCTTTGACGAAACCATTATCATTTATCAACATGATTTCCCCCAATTAAGCCAGCTCTCACTCTAATATACAGTCCACATTGGTCAAACTGAAATGACGGGATCAAATCAAAAATAGTTTGCAATATTAAGTGTAATTACTTTCCATTGTTGAAAGTAATTAAGCTAGCGTTGTCATCAATCAAATGCTTTTTTTTTTTTTTTTTTTTTTTTGAAAAAAGTGGTTGGAGAAAGTATATGAAAGATAAATAAGCACTACAATAAAATGTTGAATCAATGAAATTGATGATAATGTTCTCATGCAACATTTCCATATATAATATAAGAAGATTAATGAGTCCCTTTTGGTTTTGGGCATGGAAAGTAAAAGTTTAAAAGGCTTAAAAATAAAGCAACCCACTATGTCTCTCTCTCTCTCTCGCATCAAAAGTGAATCACGCATAGGTTATCTAATTTTCCTTTTGAGAGAGTAGGTAGGGACCAATCTTCCCTGTAGAGGAAAAGAGAGAGCAAATAATGCCCAAACCCAAGAATTAATTAAGCATATCTTGATATTTAAGACATTGTTTGATGAAAATAATAGAAAATGTCGCCATCAAATAGTGAGCACTCAACACTGAACCTCCACCAAGCCAAAATAATTTAAAGTGTCGATCGTCCATTGT